TTTTTCAGATATTTTGGTAATAGTACAATTGCGGAGACCATTTCACTATTTAATTTGAAAATGAAAATAACAGAAAATCAAAGACAATGTGCAATTCGATAATTAAAAAGTGACAGCTTATAAACATAACCTAAAATGCATGAGAAAAAATTTGTCGATAAAATCAATATAGCCGAGCTTTTTAGAAGGTAGATGTCAGCACTCATCTATTTTCTTTCTTTAAATTTTTCTGAATCGTTTTTATAAAAAGCAAAACTGCCATCTACCTTCTAAAAAGCTCGGCTATATTGATTTTATCGACAAATTTTTTCTCATGCATTTTAGGTTATGTTTATAAGCTTACACTTTTTAATTATCGAATTGCACATTGACTTTGATTTTCTGTTATTTTCATTTTTAAATTAAATAGTGAAATGGTCTCCGCAATTGTACTATTACCAAAATATTTGAAAAAAATTCCTTTAATTTTGAGTCGATTCAATTCGGCCATGATTGATATAAATTGATTAAATTTTTTGCATCAAAAAATGAGACCATTTCGTGTATCATTTCTAAAAATGATACACAAAACGATCTCTTTTTGATATAACTTATGTGCATCAAAACGTTGCAATAGAAAAAGAGACAACCAAGTTTACTGTGTATGTAACAAATACATAACACTGTTACTAGTGATTTATAACAGATATGTAACGATTATATAAAATAATTACAAATTTTTTAAATCCAGTAACAACATCTTATATAACACATATGTAACAAATATAGAACTTTGTTACAAAAAAATACAGTTAAAATTAATATAATAAATTAAGAGAATGTCATATTTTGTCTTAATTTGATATTGATAATGTTAATAAAATAAAAAAAATTAGTAATCCTAACACATTCTCGAAATTTTTTAACCGGTTGTCTCCCAAGATTCGAGCTTTCGACCATCACTAATGTACTTACACTGCAGAGCTCAACCGTACTGGGAACTGCGCCTAGACGCGCTCGACCAAGGGAGACTATAAAGGTTTCTTAGGAAATGTTCCTTCCCACACAGCACATAAAATTTCCTGAATTTGTCCTGAATATTTCATTGAAAGATTCGAAATATTTCAATGAAAGGTCCATGAAATTTTGATGCAACAATGAAATGTCCGCCTATAAGAAATATTGCAGTTCCGATTGTACGAAAAATTTCAGCGAAATGTTGAGGAAATGTGAGGATGAAAAATTACTGACATATTATTTTTTAATATTTGCAAAATAAAAAAATGAAATATGTTACAAATTTTTAAGTGAAATATTTTGAAAAGATTATTCATTAAAATTCTAGAAATATCGAAATGAAATATTTCTAAATTGTTAAAAATACATATTTAGGCAATATCATCCGGATATATTTGTGAAAAATAAAAAAAATGAATTTCAGAAATAAATTGCGGTAGTGATTGTGAAAATATGTGACAAAATTAGTTGACCGATAGTAAACCTTTGTAAAAGAAAAATTTTTTCGATAATAATGCCTTAAATTATAACTTACAAGTGAATCTTAAATTTAACATATCTCAAAATGTCTTAAATCGACGTATGCCGTCTTTCCGGCGATCGGTTCATATGTACTTTTTGTCATTTGCAATTTTAGACAAATTAAATTTTACACATTTGAATACTCTGAAAAATAGAAATGTTATCAAATGACAATTCTGCGAAAAAAATTTTTTGTTCAATTATAATTTTGCAGTAAATTAAGAATTCAATTAAAAAGTTACGAATATTGAAAGTCCAGTCAAGTAAAATTTGTAACAAATTGACTTTTATAGTATATCCTTGCGTACCTGAGCGGATCTTATTTATTTTAAGTATTCTATTTTTATACTTACTGTTCATATATATTAATCATGTTTCGCTTGTTGCATCTTACGTGTAATAATTTCTTTATAGTAAATAAATTGTCACTATTTCACTAAACACACAAATTTTGTCACATATTTTCACAATCACTACCGCAATTTATTTCTGAAATTCATTTTTTTTATTTTTCACAAATATATCCGGATGATATTGCCTAAATATGTATTTTTAACAATTTAGAAATATTTCATTTCGATATTTCTAGAATTTTAATGAATAATCTTTTCAAAATATTACACTTAAAAATTTGTAACATATTTCATTTTTTTATTTTGCAAATATTAAAAAATAATATGTCAGTAATTTTTCATTCTCACATTTCCTCAACATTTCGCTGAAATTTTTCGTACAATCGGAACTGCAATATTTCTTATAGGCGGACATTTCATTGTTGCGTCAGAATTTCATGGACCTTTCATTGAAATATTTCGAATCTTTCAATGAAATATTCAGGACAAATTCAGGAAATTTTATGTGCTGTGTGGGTTGTAACAAACACATGAAATAGATAGGTTTATTATTTTGTAAGACCATCAAACAATTTTTTAGTTGTTTATTATTTATTACAATGAGTATATTAGCATATCGTTTCTAAAATATTAATAATTTTTAACAATATAAATAATTTTTATTTGTTAGTTCTTAAATATGTTAATTAAAATAAATGTAAAAATTGTTAAATCTTTTAATTATTGTATTTTAGAATTTATTACCTTTTAATTTTTAATTTGAAAGGAAATAAATCTTTGCTTTAGTCAAGAGGACAGTACATATAAATTTCAATTTTCTCCAAAAAAGTAATTAAGTAACAATGTTGAAACAGTAAAATTTTTTTAATTAACTAATATAATTTATATTACTCATAATAGTAATTTATATTATTATATATAAGAATAGTGTGATGTAAAAAAAAATTGGTAAGTCTCAACAAATTGCAAGTCTTATAGTAATTTTCTACGCAAAAAATTTAAAAATTAATTAAATATGAGTCGCCGGAAAGTAAAACCACACATAAAATTCTGACGGCCATGTTAATTCAATGGGAGTCAGAATTTTATGTGTGGTTTTACTTTCCGGCGACTCATATAAAACAAAGCAAATATTAAATTTCTAATATATATAAATTATAAAAATGTACGAAATTCAAAACATTTAAAAGTTCCCAAATTAATTCTAACCTACCAAAAATGACTAAATTTTGCAATTCGACTAATTTTAATTACGATATACATTTAAGCAAACTGTATATTAATTCTTTGTTGAAAATCAAATAATTTATGTTTCGGTCAAGTTTCAATATCCAATATTATTGAAATTCAATGTTATATAATATTCAAATATTAAAACAATTGATGTTAGCATAAAAATTGACAAAATTACTTTGTATGGCATTATTAATGGAAAAAAAATAAAATAGGAATCTTACAACAAAAAGGATCAAACATTTAATGACATTTGTGACTGAAGTGTTACAGAACATTTGTAGATTTGACATAATGTTATAATTCTATAACAGATAATAATTTATTAATTATTAATTAATAAATTAATTATAATTAATAATTTCTACACGAAAAGAAAAATCTAGCTTTCATAGCATGAAAATGATTCCTACCATTAAAGCATGAATTTTTCTTACAAAGAAAGCAAGAATTCATGCGTTCTTAGTATGTTTGAGAAACACGTCTTCGTAGTATGCATTTAATACTTTAAATGAATGAGCGCCACGCATAAATTGTATGAAACCAAAACCTACTACTATTGCACGAGTCTCATGCTTTTTCGGTATTAGAGTCCTGCAACTGGCGATCACCAAGTTTGAGTCAAGTTAAAGTGTGCGTGTCTTAATCGCCAGTTGCAGGACTCTAATACTGAAAAAGCATGAGACTCCTGCAATAGTAGTAGGTTTCAGTTTCATACGATTTGCGCGTGGCGCTTATGCATTTAAAGTATTAAATACATACTACGAAAGCATGTTTCTCAAACCTTTTAAGCATGGACACCAATCCTACTAATAACGTATGAATTCTTACTAATATTACTAGAATTTCTCTACTATAATAGCATGAAAAGATTCATGCGTTAAACGTATGCCTTATCACGTTATACAAGCGAGATTTTTCTCTCCGTGTAGAATAAGACAAGCATTCTGTTCTAGAAATGTTATGTAATATTCTTTCAGCACAGTTCTAGAGCAGAAGCGGAACAAAATTTCTAGAACATTTGTGACATCTATGTTTTAGAACTCTTATAGAACATTTGTTATAGAATAATTTAAGAACAAATTTCCGGATATATTCTATAACAAAAAGAGAATATTATTCTAGAAAGGTGACATAATATTGTTATATCAAAATTCTAGAACAAAAAAAGTACAAAATTTCTAGAACACTGTTACCATTTTGTTCTATAACTGCTACATGTTATTGATGGCATAATTGTTCTAGAACGATGTTCTTTAATTTTAATAGAACAATTATAGAACGTGTTTGCTGGGTAAAATTTTTATTTTTTATGCAATAAAAATCGAACACTTAGTTCGTAGGACTTTCATGTAACAAAATTATTGAACACTTGAAGGATATATTCAACTCTTTGACGCAATATAACTTTGCAATATATAAATAGTATAATATTGTTTTTTAACAACAAAATAACTACAATTGGTACAATTTTTACAAACAATACCTCGTTTCGTTCGTTGAAAGATTCTCTATATTTCTGGTCGTTATTATTTTTTTTGAAGATATTTTATTAAAAAGTTATTTAACAAATATTATTATTTTTTTAATATACATATATTTGTTAATTAAATATTTTTTCACAAAATTCAACGAACAGAATTGTATAGAGAATTTTTTAAACATCATAATTTGTGTCCTGACGCGGTGAAAGGGACCTTATGGTATAATAGCAAATTGTACTTTTGAATGTTCATAATAAAAAACGAATTGAACAAAATAATTTCTAGTTTTTGGAAATGAAAGAGCAACTCAAATAATTTGATTTCCAAAAATTAGAAATTATTTTGTTCAATTCATTTTTTATTATGAACATTTAAAGTACAATTTGCAATTAAACCATAAGGTTTGGCGTACATGTCACCTGCCGATGTTGATGTAGGAGATTTTGTGGTAGCGGGTCCTTCAACGTCCTCCTCGTCTATGGAAAAGGACAAAGTTGATAGAGATGATAAAGAATGTGATGATGATGGTGACAGTGACGATAACGATGACGACAATGTCGAGTATGAGGGGAATGAGGAAAATGAGGAGATTGAGGCGAATGACGATGGTGATGGTAATTATCGTCATGATGATGATAATATTGATGAGCCTGACGAGGATGATGATGATGATGATGATGATGAGGAGGAAGGGGAGGAGGATCATCAGGATAAAGAGAATATCGCTCCAAGTAAGTTTAAAAAATTCTTTGTGGTGGCATTGCGGTTAGGGAAAACTTATTGGACATTAGAAAAAATAAGTTGCAAGACAATTATAGTGCGAACTGTATAATTTTTAATGATTTCTTTTGTTAAAGTTAACCCATAAGATTAATTATAATTTAAAAAAATAATTTAATTTAATCAAAACAAATCGTTTGCTCAATAGAAAAGAACAAAAAATGCCCATACATAATAATATAATAATAAATAATTTAATTATGTAATACAATAATTATATATATATGTAATAGTGCGACAAAAAGTTTATTTTCAAAAAATAATAGAGGTACCTATTTAAATTTAAATAAAACATACAATATTATTGTTTAATTTTATTTTCACTCAAATCTATACTATAGTGTAAGTATATTTTATTGTATACTCTGCTTTTATTTACGTTATATAGATAAATCACGCATACAATGGAAAAAGAAAATGACGAGTGCTTTGATCGAAATTGTTTCAACTCTTAATGAAAAAACAAGTTTGAAAGGAGTAAAATTTTGGAATAAAGTTAAAGATTCATTAAAGGAAAAAGGGTATGATAAAGCACCAGCGGAAAAATGTAAATCAAAGTGGGGTGGATTGTTAAAGGGTTACGATCGAAATTTAAAGAAACTAAAACGATCGGGCGCAAGTCCAGTGAGATGGACGCATTTTGAGGAAATGCATACAATGATGTTTAAGAAACCGACCATCAGTCCACCAGCTATCGCCTCAAGCATCAAAGGATACGAGAAAAGAATTCGCGAGGAAACTTCTGAAAGCGCCAGCACCACAAATGAATTGGGTGACGATTCAAAGAAAAAAAAAATTAACCCGAAGAAAAACATCAGACAGACTGAATTAATGCAACAAATGTTGGATAATTCCGAAAGAAGGAGTAACGTAACTACGCAATTGACAACTGAAGTTCTTGGTACATTAAAAGATATGGTACAAGTTCTAAAAGATTTCAAAAAATAAATTTTTGGGAATAAGTTATATTTTACAAAGCGGTGATAAAAGCGATTCTTTCTGCTGTCTGTTAATCAGTATACTGTATAAAAAAGAAATTTATGTTTTGTTTCTTGTTTTTGAATAGCAGAAAATCACTGCATTTTTTTGCGCGTTTAAAAATATTGATAGGTGTTTTATTTTTATTTTCAAATATTTATCGATACTTATATATATGATTTTGCGTATATTTTAAAGTGCAAATACGTCACATGTATACCAAAGTTAAAGTTAGATAGATAGTTGATACAGTTGATTTAGATATTAATACTGTTGTTTTTGACTATATACCTATCTATATATTTCTGTGCAATAATTACAAATAATTACACTTAATGTATAAGTTTTAAGTAATCAACTTACTTTAAATTTAAATAAAATAAAAAAAAAACCATTAAATTTTAAAGAATTAAAACTGTTGCAATGTTTTTTTTTTGTTTTTTAAACATATATATTATTCAAATATACATGTACATAAAAGTTTAAAAATCATTTAAAAATTAATTTAAAAATTACAAAATAAGTTCAAGTACGGTTATTATGTCGAATTTCTGTAACATGTTAATTATTTAAAAAATAGCAGGTTATTGTGCCATAATTCGCATTGTGTTAGAAATTGTTATGGGCAGAATTCAATTTATCAATTGTTATTTATTATCGTAATTAATATTAAAGTTTTCGCGCACATTCATCGCATTGTAAAAACAGCATTTTCAAGATATTTATAAAATAAAAACAATTTTTCTCATACAAATTCAACATTTCAAAAATTTATTAAAATAATATACCTATTTGACACTTTTCATTTCAAGAATGATATTCAAGCTCGACGATTTATATCAAATAAGTAGCTCCTGCTTTTTCGTCATCATTTTTATCTCAAGCTCAAGGCCAAAGATGGTATAATTTCCATTTAAAATATTAAAAAAAAAAAAAATTCTCCAATATTTCAGAATTTTGTCCGTGAGAGGAAAATATATTCAAGAAAAATCAATTTTTGAGAAATTTTCGAATATTTAGTTAGAGAATTATTTGTTTTGTGTCTAAATTGTCTGTATTAAAATAATAACTGTATAAAAATTTAATTTAATTTCATATTTTACTGTATATTCGCAGGTACATTAAAAAATTATTTCGTTAATTTGAGGTGACATTTGTATAATTCCTTGAACACGTGCTCTTTGCAGTTTTTTCCTTTGGGCAATTTCCTCGTGTTGATTCTTAAATTCTCGATCATCAATGAACACGCGAATAATTGATATTCCAAAATTTGCCATGCCGACGACAGCAATATAGGCCACGAATGCTTCGGCCGGTTCACCACAAAGTATAATAACTGCACGCTGATTTAACGAGAACAAATTCGGCACCCAACTCGAAAGTTTTGAATTGATACGCTTAACAACAGAGCCGAATATAGACATCTTGCCGCCCTAGGCCATTTTACTGATCCGCCCTCCTTAAGGCGAGGATTTTCATGCATGAATACAAATATTTGGAAAAATTAATTTTGGCGTATGATGATTAATAATGATATATTAAAATGTTTGCATATTAAGATTTTTATTTGCATGTTGAGATAAAAAAAGAGACTTGAATAACTTCTCATTTGTTTCGCGAATTTAATGGAGAAGAAGAAAGAAATATGTAATTAATAATTTAAAAATTATTTTTATTTAATAATAATAAATAATAATGAAGTAAGACTTTTAGTCTACAGATTTACTCGACGTACTTTTTTTTCTGCAAACTCGTTTATAATTTTTTCGGTATCAATTGTTTGAAGAATGGAAGATTCAATATACATTATAGACAAGGCATTCAATCTTTCTTCGCACATGGTTGAGCGCAAATAGTCTTTAACTCTTGACATAGCAGAAAATGATCGCTCACAAGAACAATTTGAAACAGGGATTGTTAAATAAATACGAAGCGCAACATTTACATTTGCATAAACAATCGTTAATTGTTTTTCGTGCAGCATAATCGACAGTTCAATCATCGAAATATTTTGTATCTTCATCGATCTTAGATGTGCTCCAAGGTGAAGGCATTCAACTTCTAATTCGTCTCCTAAATCGTCGGGATAAAAAGAGAGTAACTTTGTACAATTCTTCCTTATTTCGCCAGAATCTTGAACATGCAATAATGTTAAGAAAGAGAACCTGTCACACAAAATTTCATAGGCTTCGCATCGTTTTTTTAATTCCGCTTCCAACCTATCAATGCTAAAGTAAAACATGTTCACTTTGATGTTGTCTCTGCCCGTAAATTCATGTTCCGTTTCTCCAGCTTCATCAAAATGTGGTTTACGTTTCTTCTTTCTCGACAAATAAAATTTATAACTAGTGTGCTTGCAAACACTTTTGGCTTTCTCTTCGTAAACAGAAAATTGGTTCCTGAATTCGGCAACGTACTGCATTAAAGAGTGATAAAGTTCAACAACCAAAGCGAGGTGACAATCTTTAGCTTGTAATGCTTTGCTGACAGCATTCAACCTTTGAAGTATATCGTTCCAAACAAGTGAAATAAAGCAATTTTCAAGATTATCAAGAGAAACATGAATTCCTTTGGCTTGTTGACGAGTTTCAGGTTTTTCAAATTTATTGTTAGCTATTTGTAACAGGGCATTTAAAATTTCACTCCAAGATTGACAAACACTTTTACATGCTTGGTGTTGATCTGACCATCTAGTTTTAGATAAATTCTTAAGAACAGTCGCGTTATCTTTCAAATTTTCGAGTAAAATCTCCCATCTGTGTGTTGACGAGGAAAAGAAATTGTAAAGCTGTTGCAAAATAGAGAAAAAATTTACCACTAACTGACAACTTTTAACAGTATTTGTCCCAACAAGATTGAGTGAATGTGGTGAACAAGGAGCGAAGACAGCTGCGGGATTTACTTCAACAATTCTTGCTTGAACACCAGAATACATACCCGACATATTGGCTGCGTTGTCGTAAGACTGTCCTCGACAATTTCCTATGCTTAAATCATCACCAGCCAAAACACCGAGAATGGTATCGAACATTTCTTCTGATTTGTGTCCACAGTTGGGAATAAACTTTACAAAATTTTCTCTTGGTAAACCATTTTCATCTACATGTCTCAAGATAAATGATAACTGATCAAAATGTGCTACATCTGAAGTTGAATCAATACTAATCGAAAAGTATTCAGAACATTATCTCCTAAAATTTTAATAAATTCTTCGCAAGTGAAAGATGAAAGGTAAGATGTATTTCCACTACCTTTGTTTCCATAAAGCTTAATATGCTCTGCCAGAAAGGGGTCAAATTGAGCAATTAACTCTAAAGCCATGATGTAATTTCCCGAATGGAATGATCCAAATTTTTCATCTGTTCCTCTAAATGGTAATCCATAAGATGCCAAAGATTTGATCGTTGCCACTACTCGTTTAAGAACGTTTCTCCAATATTCGATTTGTTTTTGTGTTTCATAAATAATTGATTTGTCAATACTCTTATTCGTTTTATTTATTTGTAAAAACCTCATCATTGCATCCTTATGTTCCGTGGAACATTCATGTTGCACTAAACGATCATGTGCGTTTTTCCAATCATTAAATCCTGTTGTAAACGAACTTTCTTTCACTTTAAATAATTTACAGGGACCACAAAAAATCGAGTTTACACTTGTTGAATATATCAACCACGGACGCACCTGAATTTCTCCATTTTTTAGTTCTCGATTAAAAAGTGATTTTGACATGTACCTTGCTCTATTATTATACTGTCTTTTTGATTTCGAAAAGTCGGCATCAATGTTTTGATTAAATCCGTGTGTTGTGAAATACTCTACCGTTGAATCATTAATTGTCCATTTCGCCGGATCATCACTGATCTCACAATTTGTCAAATCAATCTCTGTATTGTCTGGAGTTAATGATAATTTCGAAATGTCTTGAATACCCTCTGTGTCAAGACCCTCATTTAATTGAAAATCACCAGGTTCTTCCGATAAACCCTTTTCCGCGTTTTCTATTTAGGTATAAATAGAGGTTAGAATTTTTAAAAATAGCACAATATGATGAAAAAGTAAATGTACAATTATATTAAAAAACTCGAACAAAGAATAAGAAAACTTGGTAAAATTATAACTTACGTTCGGCGACATTTTCCACGGTGTTCAAATGAATCGAATTATTATTGTCTGATATATTAGCTTGAATTTTCGTAACGAAAGAATCCATTTTTTGGTATTGACCGGTATGCTTTATTAAAGCTACATTTTTTTCTTTTCTTATTTTACGGTATTCACAACCGCTTAATTTATTTTTTTTAGAAGACATAATTTAAGTAATTTAACTTTCATTTACAATATGTCAACAACAACAAGAACAATATGTAAACATAAAGTCATAACCAAAAAGTTTTACAAACTTAATAGGTGGGAGTGTTGAGCAGTATGAAGAAAAGAGAAGTTCCTGAAATTGATTATCAGATTGGCGCTACGATCGAAAGTTGTCCCCTGGTATTCAGATAAAGTCACATGTAAACTATGTTTCGTTTTTTTCTATTTTTAACTTTTTTCGACTTTACCTAACACATTTTAAAATTTTTTAAAATTTTTTATTTCAATATTTTGCCGCCCCTAAAATCCGCCCGCCCCTAGGCCATGGCCTTATTGGCCTCTATTACAAATATGGCCTGCTTAACAATTTTCCCTGGACATGCGCTTTTGTCTTTCAAAACGCGATGATAACCGCGCCACTAAGTGCCAAGTAAATGGACAATTGATAATACAATATAGATTATCGTGATTTTTTAACAGGGATAAAATGTATTTTGTTATTTTGCATCGGCACTGTCAATTTTCCATTCGTCGTATCGTATTTGTCGCCCAAAAAGTGACACAAAAAGTGAACATTTAAGTTCCACTTAACAATAAAATTTTTATGTCTCACGCGTTTTGACGATCTCGATAATGATCGCGTATCTAGTTATGTTGCTCTCTACGATATAATACATTCGCAATTATTTCACGTTTCATTTGTCCACCAAATCCAATATTTTCTAGCTCTTGATCGTTATTGTCGACATTTTCGTGAACGGCCTCAGGAACATTATTGATATCGTCTGCTGCTGCATTATTATCTACAGCTACCCCCTCATCGAATAAATCATTGAGTGATAGACAAATATTGTGGAGGCAGCAACAGGCGAGAATTATCATTGAAGCGTACTCAATATTTTGTAAATACAAATATTTGAGACGTCGAAAACGAGACAAAAGGAGAGCAAATACCCTTTCAATTGTCTGCCTTGTTCGGGCATGCACAAGATTAAAATTCCGTTGAATTCTTGTCAACCGACCACAATCCTTATACGGTGTCAACAAATTGAATAGTAAGGGATATATCTTGTCTCCAAGAATATGGGTTTCGTCTGGAAAGTAGCGTGCATTATCTCGGATAATTTCTTGTTTAATATCACTTAAGCTCCATACTCTAGCGTCATTGACGCTTCCGCAGCAACCTGCGTAAACGTCAATGAATCGCATTCTGTGATCACAGATTGCCTGTGTGTTAATGGAGTAATATCCCTTTCTATTCATATAACTATCGGCGTTTTCATGAGGTGCACTAATTTGTATCTGGCAACCATCAATGGCTTCAATCACTCCAGGAAACTGAGCAATTTCTTGAAATTCTAGTTGATTTTCAACGATAGCTTGTCCTGTAGGCCATTTTATAAAAGTTCGTGAACGCCGACAGAGTAATGTGGCTACGTCAATCATGCACTGCCATGAAGTAGATTTGGACACACCGAATCTGTCTGCTACAGATCTATAAATAAATAAATAAATAAAAATAAAATCAAACTTTAATAAATAATTATTAAAATAATTTAAAAAAAAATTTTAATATTCTACAGTTTATTTACACAAATGCAAATATAAAAATTAATTTCCTGCATAGTGGTTCTTGACAAATATTTAATTAAGTAATTACACAGCCCCACAAAAAAAAAAGTGTCGTGCGCGGCAGACCAGACTAGTCATTTCCCATGTATTTTGACGCGCTGAACACGAATCCGAAGTCCGTTTTGCTCCATCACGTCAGGATTTTTTTCTAACCTCCAAAAACCTGTCGGATTTTGAGAGGTAGGCTATTTTTTTAAAAATTGATGGATTTACTTCAAAATTGGTATCTAGGGGTTTTTTGGGTCGCTGATGAAGAATTTGAAGTTAGATTTTCAAAATTCAAAATGGCGGCTCCAATATGGCGGACGAATTTTGTAAAAATTGATGGATTTACTTCAATATTGGTATCTAGGGGTTTTTTGGGTCGCTGATTACGAATCTAAAGTTAGATTTTCAAAATTTAAAATGGCGGCTCCAATATGGCGGACGATGTCGACCCTTCAAAGGTGATAAATCCGCCCTTACACACGAAACTAGGAGCAATTGAACAGTTTGTCAAAGCCTTAGATAAAAAAGGAAACTGTTTCAAATACCTGGAACAAAAGTTTCCAAAAATCTCTGATGCGAAACTAAAAGCAGGGGTTTTCGACGGACCACGTATTCGTAAATTGTTAAAAGATGAGCAATTTATTACCAAGATGAATAAAAAGGAGAAAGCCGCATGGCTTAGTTTCAAAGCAGTTGTCGAAAATTTTCTGGGTAATCACAAGAGTGAAAATTGGGAGCAAATAGTTAGTGATATGATTAAAAACTTTGGTAAGTTAGGATGCTTAATGAGCATAAAGTTGCATTACTTAGACTCGCATCGGGATTAATTCCCTGGAAATTTGGGAGATTACAGTGAAGAACAAGGAGAACGATTCCATCGAGATCTGACAGAATTTGAGCGTCGGTATCAAGGAAGATGGGATGTAAATATGATGGCCGACTACTGTTGGATGCTGAAAAGGGATATTGTACCTGGAGGCACCAATTTGAAAAGAAAACCATTACACAAATCCTTTGAGGACAAAAGAGTGCGCTACCATAAAAAGACGTAAATACCTTACTTATGTATATAAGAATTTCCATTTCTAGTTTTGAAAATCTAACTTCAGATTCGTAATCAGCGACCCAAAAAACCCCTAGATACCAAGTTTGAAGTAAATCCATCAATTTTTACAAAATTCGTCCGCCATATTGGAGCCGCCATTTTAAATTTTGAAAATCTAACTTCAAATTCTTCATCAGCGACCCAAAAAACCCCTAGATACCAATTTTGAAGTAAATCCATCAATTTTTAAAAAAATAGCCTACCTCTCAAAATCCGACAGGTTTTTGGAGGTTAGAAAAAATCCTGACGTGATGGAGCAAAACGGACTTCGGATTCGTGTTCAGCGCGTCAAAATACATGGGAAATGACTAGTCTGGTCTGCCGCGCACGACACTTTTTTTTGTGGGGCTGTGTTATTGGACTTCCGCATGAAAAAGTCAATAACTAGGTTATTTTCGACAAGTTATTCGGATTATGATCTTATTAAGTCATCAGAAGCACCTGTTTGATAAGAAACCAATTGGTTTAAATTTTTTTTTTTACTTTTACGGTTTTAAAAATGATGATAAACTGACAAAGTGGGAACATTTCTAAAAAATGAAATTTTTAATTTTATAAATGGAAATTTTTACGTAGTTAATATTTGAATGTGATTGTATTAACTATTCTAAAGAAGGATAAGCGAAATTAGACTTAATTAAAAATTTTTTAAATGCCTTTATTCTAAATAATATTCAAAAATGCGTCGCGATAATGTCTATATCAAACGATCACACGAGACCAAACGTAAAAAAGTACGAATAACTTGATTATTTCCGGCCTATAGATTGTTGATTTAAAAAAGGAAAAAAAAAAATTTCAGATTTTTCATCGCATTTACTAAATTGTGATTTTCTCGAAAACTATAAAACTGCGAGAAATTATAAGAAATTATTAATTAATAAATTACTAGAAATTAATTAAAAAATTATATAATAAATATTAAATAAATTAAATTATTAAATTAAACTTTTTCATGCAAACGTCCAGAAATATTTTTTTGATAATAGTCTGCATAATTTCTAAATGAATATTTAGATACAGTTTGCGTCTTTTTTACAATTTGATTATCAAAATTTGTGTACTTTTTATTAAAAAATATGAAAATTTAAATAAATATTTGAGATATAGTTTTCACACAGCTTCAATATAGTATTGTGTACATATTTCAAAAAAAGATATATAATACAATATAATAATTAAGTATATTATACCGATGAACTTCCTGATTGCCGAAAATCCAAATTGCGATGGCCAATTTCTTCATCACCGGAACGTTTGATTGTTCTGTAATTAAATCTGGTCCAATCATGAGACTCAATTCCTCGAACGTTGTTCTGCTCATTCTAAAATGAGATTTGAAATCTGCATCAAAAAATTACAAACAGCTTATATATACATACATGCATATACTTAAACAATTCGCTATTTTCTATACGAAAAAATAAACATAATATATTTATAAAAATTTGTACCTGACAGTGAAAATCTGGGAATAATTAATTCAAAATAGTTTTCTGTCTTCGGAATGTGAGTTATCATCTTCTGTCCAGCTATTAACAGAAATAAATTTTCAAATTCCTCCTCTTCCTCTTCTTTACTTAAAATCGTGTGGAGGTATGCAATAACAGCCGCCTGTATTGCCACGATTGATGCTACTACTTCCGGCGGCACACCAATAGCTAATTTATAAATAAAAAAAAAATTAGATATTATTTAAGAATTTAATCAGTTAAAAATTTGAGTAAATTAAACTCCGAGCAAATGATGAATTTATTTAATGAAAATTTTGAAATATAAAAGTTTATATAAATAAATATAATAATTTCTGTTGAATAAGACAATTATGTTAAATAAAAAATTCGTTAAAATAAACATATTAAATAAAACGCGTATAGGGTCAGCCGGGGTAAATCCGAACGGGGGGTAAATCCGAACGCTAATTATTTCAGCTTAATTAAAATTTTTAAAAATAAGTTCGATATGAGAATTTTTACCTCAGATCCTCTTCAAGAGATTCTAAGTATTATCCCATTTTTCGTTTGTTAATTAGCAACAGCATAAACAAAGATAACGAGTTTTGCAAAAAAGATTGAAAATCAAAGATGACACTCTTTCAGTATTTTGTCTCGTATTTGAAGAAAAAGAAGCTAAAAATTTATTTTATTATTTATAATTGTTTGTTATGAATACTATAACAGAAACTATTTTTGATTTTTGCCTTCTGTAAAATTTTATTAATAATATCAGACCGTTCGTATTTACCCAGGAAAATTGGAAAACCGGGGTAAATCCGAACGGTATTTTCAATAATTTTTTTTTACATCAGAGCCACACAAAATTGTTTTTATTTAATTACACTATTATTTTAACATTATAAAAGTACATAGAAAAAAGTTTTTCTTTCTATACGTATCCTCGTTAGTAATTAATAAACAGAAACTTAATCTCTGTTCTCTCGAAGGAGTGTTTCAATTTTTTTGCCAAATGGTTTGTTGAAAAAAGTTTTTCAGGATCTTAATAAAATTTGGTATTCTACGGTTTTTGGGGTCGCTAATTACCAATTTGAAGTCAGTTTTTCAAAATTCAAAATGGCGGACGAGAATTAAAAAATTCATTGGATTCGCTCGAAAATTGTTACTCGGGGGGTTTCAGGGTCGCTGATTACGAATTTGAAGTTAGCAAATTTGAACATTTTTAAAAATAAGTTTTAAGAAAGTCCGCCATTTTGAATTTAAAAAATTTGACTTTTATTTTTGTATTTACATTCAATCACTTCAAAATACTATCTGTACCAAGTTTTGCAAAAATCCGTTATGATTTGATAAAGTTATTGAAGGTTTTAATTGTGTAATGCATTTTAATTTTTAACCTGTTTGATTTTTGTACTTATATATGATGCATTATTACATAATAGGTTTATTATCTTTTTTTTTTTTTGAGTTTTTATATAAGTTTAACAATTGCAATACTTTAAATTTATTTTCCCTAAGATTTTTCTGAAATACAGTGGCGTTCGTATTTACCCCGGTATTTTAGGAAAGTTGCAAAGTATCGAGGTAAATACGAACGCTAAGTTTCCTGCGATTGTAATTTATCAAAAATTTTTGCTACCCCATAAAATTGTTCTATGGAATATACCGATGGTGGGATTTATGTATACACAAACTAAAAAATTCCATTGCGGTAAGACAAAGACACAAATTGGCTCCAATAACAATAATAATTTCTTTTTAAAAATTAAAATATGCATGCAGGCACAAATGTCCAAAAATATTGCAGCATATTTTTAGTAACTAATTTTAATTAATTAATTAATTTATTAGTTGTACATAAATTTATGATTTTAATGTTAAACAAAAATAAAACTCAAATAATAAATAAATTAACCTGCTTTTAATACTTACAAAACAAAAATAGCCAAAATATAAACAATACGTGGCTTATTGTATAAAATTGTATACAAAATGCAGCTGTACTATGTGTTTAAACAATGCTATTTGTAAAAATTAATTAAAATAAGTATTAGTCGTTTACCTTGACTAATAATGTTGCACATTTCTCTCAATATGTCATTAATTTCGTAATGAGGAACTAAAATCATTAAAATTGTTTATGAAAATTGTTTAAACAATTGAAATTTTTTTTTTCAAAACACAAAATCAAAGGCGTTATGCAGAATTATATCATCTTTAAAATAAGACGAAGAACGTCAAAATCGGTTAAAATTTGTAGACTCTATGTTAATTTGTTCACGGCCCACTGAGTAGCGTAGCGCGCGTAGAGCTTACACGGAATTTTTAAAAATTCATTTAAACTTAATTAAATCATCAGGCCCACTCCGGCTCTTTTTGCAAAATCTTCTGTTTATTTTCAGACATGAATAAATCATAAAAAAAAATTTAATCGGGCCCAAATTAAAAAAAAAATAATTAGTTTATAAAAACTTAATTTTTTTTCATTAAAAATTTAAAAAAAAATTTTTTTCTTAAATTTCTTAAAAGTTGAAGAAAAAACAAAACTTTTATTCTTTGGCGAGATTTTACCAATTTCAATATTTTCAGAGATATAAGCCATTAAAAAAAGGTCTACTTTCGCAAAGCTAAAAATTCATAACTAAAAAATTTGGCCAATTTTTCAAAAATAAAAAAATACGTATATCATGTTTTTCTACAAAGAATAAGAAAAAATATATTTACCCTAATTTTAAACTTCGACTATAAATCTCATGTGGAATCGCCCATATATATGAGGAAAAATTTCTGAAGTGATCCAACTTTAAAATTGAACATTTTCGGATCGTGCTGAAATTTGCATAAACTTTAGTACTATGGGTAAGTACTTCACCCACAAATTATTATTAAGTTTTATGCAAAACTGTAAAGGGGGAGAGAGAGAGTTCAAAATTTTCGTTAAATGTGAACAGTGGATTTTTTAAAAAATCGTAACTTCTATATAAATAAAACATTATAACTCGAAAGTTTTCTTATTTTTATTTTAAATGATCATCAGAATTTTTAAATATGTTTTTTTCACTTACTGAAAAACATGAAATTGGCACTTGACTCCTTTCGTGAAAACTCAGTTTTAGGTAAAAAAAATAATGTAAAAAAGAGGGAACGGTAATGGTGCCAAGCCAATGATTACAAAAAAAATATTGAAAGACCCTCGATTATTTCTTTTTCCAAAAAACAACTGTTCACAACCCACGCGGATGGCATTGCAAAAGAAATTTTGTATTACAAATTAAGTGCACCTTTCACAATATTTGGGGAATATTTCAAAAACTTCGTATAAGCGAACAATAGAATTTCAACAGGCTTTGCCGCGGATAATTTGTCTTTGTAGTTCAACAATTTCACATATGCGTATAGTAAGAATCATAAACTAATTAATTTTAAAATTCTAAAGATATAAGTATATTTGTAATTCTTCAATGAATTTCGTACAAATTTGAAACCAAATTTCAATAAATAGAATCAAGTGTTATTGTTATTTTACAATTGGGTATTTAATTTATAAATATATAATCAAAACCGTTTGACAAATATTAAATGATAATTAATATGTAGGTAATTTAAACTACATAATTTCTTTTATTTACAATAGCGATCTGCTTTCATTTTACTTCTTCTGTCAAGTAAAGTTTCATGAAGTATACCTTCTTCTTTTGCTTTTTTTAGTGTTGAACGATCTGACGTACATATTCGTAGTTTTTTGTCTTGAAACTTTTGAAACTTGCGTCTAAAAGAGTAAATAATTTCAATTACAATTAGAGTGTTTACATATTATAAATAAACAAAATAAAAAAATGTTTTTTGGGAAAAATATAGTGATACATGATCATTTTTATTTTTATAATTTTTTAAGTATATCTTGATTATGGCATTTTTTAAATAAATTAAATGTATATATTTATAAAATGATGCTGAAACTGACACCAAGTTAACAGAACCTATAAAACAAATTTCGTCAATAATTTTAAATTAATTAAAAAAAATGGTTCTAACAGCAAAAAACATAAGAATAACATAAGAAAGTTTTAGCATCATCTTTTAAATAATTTTAAGTGCTATTGAAATAAAAAATTTTCTTTTCCTCTTTGAGAACTAGGTATAACTCGTGAAAAAAAAGATGTTAACAAAAATATACTCACACAAATTTTTCTTCAACTTGTGCCATAGATCCTAGTTCTTCTTCACATACTTCTTTATCATTATCGTCTACTCGTTGTACAATACTTCTGATACAAACGAATTCTGCAGGTCCAGCAGTTTTACTTTGACAAACAACATCATCATCATTTGTCACAGAAATGAAATTATTAGTACTACTTAAAATAGCAAGATTTCCGTCCTAAAAATATTGAATTAAGCATTTATTTATTTAATTTGTAATTAAGATATAATTTACATTTTACAAAAAGAAGTCTTTAACCATTAATATCTTCGAAAAATTTAAAAATGCTAAAAATTCAATAATTTATACCTGAAAAATTGGCTCCCATTGTTCTAAGGTACCGACTGCATCACTGCGCCCTACCACAACTCCTTTTTTATCTACTCCTAAATATTTACCGTATCCCGATTTTAGGGCAACTTTTGTCTCATTCACTGGAATAGCTATTAAAATTTCTTCTGGACACGGACCCTCACCTTCATCATGAGGAATTCCCAATGTAAAAAGTCCATTATCAAGTGCTTTTATATATGTTTGATTTTTAAATTCAATAGCTACTGTTCCTGTTATCTCTGACACACTAGTTGTTTTGCACCAACCACCTAAAATATTTATTTATTTATAACATTTCCCGCAATACTTTTGGACCACAAACACAACAAAAAAATGGAAAATACTTATTAATCATCATAATTTAAGATAATTAAACGCGATAATTTTTAAATATTTAACACTCACGTAAGCTGCAAATATACTAATTCATATATTTCAAAAACTGATTTAGACAATATACATAAATTAATATAATATAGATATTAATAAAAACAAATTGATTTGATAAATTTTCTTAAAGTTATTGAGTTATTAAAATTTGATTAAAATCGAATTCTTTTAAATAAAAAAGAATTAAAAGGAACATTCTGTAAATAAAGTGTTGGATAAATTTATATTCTATTGAATACAAATTAGAAAAAATTAAAATTTTATTTAAAAGAAAAGTCCATCTATTGAAATTCTGTCAAATGAAAATTTTAATTAATAAATTTTATAATAATCCACATTAATATAATCTTCTTATTACAGGTTGTTCTGCATAGTTTCAATAAAAAAGTTTAAAGAATAATAAAAATTAACTATTTCCTAATAGGGTAAGTGCATCAATTACGGCGCGTTTATAACTGTTGCAAAATGATTTTAAAAATTATTTTAATCTTTTTTTGATACAATTACTAATAAAGATGCACATTTAAATAATTATTAATTTAATTATTTGAGTTCAAATTTTTTTTCTCGTCAGAGTTGAAACATATTTTAGAAATAGTTGACATGATTTTGAAGAAACTATTTAAATTATAATTTTTCAATAATTTTTAATATATTTTTTAAACAATTTAATTTTGAAAAAATGGTCAAGTGCGAGTTACACTCGCTTATCTAGGGTTCTGTTCACGATTATTTAAAGTTTAAGATTCTTAAAGTTAAGATAAAAAGAAAATTTGAGCTTTTTCAGGAATTTTGAGTTTTTATAGCGAAAAAATATTTAAGTCTATTTCAAAGGGGTTGGCTATATTTTTCGTGAAATCTCCATGTAAAATTAACTATGGGTACCAAGTTTCAGCTTCTTAGCTCGAAAACTAAAAGTTCAAGCAGGAAGGACACGCTTTTTTCCGAAATTACGAATTTTGGAATAGAACTATATTCAATTCAATTCCAATCGGATTCGCTATAATTTTCCTTTAATCTACTCACGAAAATACGTATGTATACCAAATTTGAGCTCAATTGGTTGAAAAGGCTGGGTTTTAAAGGGGGGACATGATTTTCTGGACGGACATGAGTGAAACCATAAGGGTTCCGTTTCGGTTCACTGCGTGAACGAAACCCTAAGAAGAATTAAAATATTTATAAATCCACCAATATTGTTTTCTTTTTACCGGAAATGTTTTATTTTACCACAGAGTATAACCATTTACTTATATTCTAATATCCCGTTTCAATTTCTAGATTTCAACGTTTCTGACTCCCCAGGTGCGAATTTTCCGTCAGCCCATGGTTGGGCCAACTTTGCAAAAGTTGGGACAACTTCACCTGCCAAAGGGTGGGCCAACTAGCGAAATGATAACGGTTTACCACCCATTGGCATCGATGGTCGGCCCAACAACTCGTCCCAAGGTTGGTCCAACTCTAAAAGTGTATGTTGTACCAACTATAATTCTCATTGGTTGGCCCAACAATTTGTCCCAAAGTTGGTCCGACAACTTGTCCCAGAGTGGAACCAACTTTAAATGAGTATGTACCAAAAATATAAATAATTAAAAACATGAATTAATTATACAATTAGCACACTGGTAAGTTCTGAAGAATTTTACATATGTCCTTACTTATTAATATTAAACGCAATCTCCTTATACATTTTTGAAAATATCTAACGCCCGCTGGGATCGAACCCCTAACCTAACGCATCGCAGTCTTATACGCTAACCATTACGCTACGCTTACATGGGATTATTTTTCAGAAATGTATTTGAAAGCTGACTGAAGAAAATAATAGCTTAGGCAGCATTAGAAGAATAAAGAAACAATAATGATGCGGCACGACATACATATTTTAATAAAAAATATATTTAACAAAATTGATAAACGTTATTAAAAAATGAAATATTTTAAAACTAATGAAATGAGGATTATTCTGAATTTATTAATTAAAAGCTTATCAAATTCTGCATTTAACATGCCTATTATATGAAGTACTTTGAATTAACGAATTGTTAACAAATAATTAATAAAAACAATTTGGCCAACCATAGCGTTTAAGTCTTTTAAACTACGTTTGCCGAAGTTTTGACGACGGTCGGGCCAACCTTCACCCAGAGTTTGGCCAACCGAAGCATTTAAGTCTTTTAAACCATGTTTCCCGAAGTTTTGCCGACGGTTGGCCCAACTCTGGTTTAAGTTGGGCCAACGGTTGGCTTTACTCAGCATGCCATAGTTGGCATACAAAGTTGGCCCGACCTTGGTTACTTGTAAATACCCAGGTTGGACCAACTTTGGTTACCAAACTTCGCTTGCCAAAGTTAGGCCAACCTAGGCCCAACCATCCAACTCTGGCAGCCAGCCTAAATTCGCACCTGGGTCGAGATTTTATGTCAACCAGATTTTTATAGACTTCCCTTTCAACCGCCATTTTCTCGCCTTAAATTAAAAAAATATATATATCATTTGCATCAATATATGTGAGATAATATATAAAAGTTTTAAGAGATTTCAATATATTTTCCTATAAAAAAAATTCTTGAAAATATATGCATAAATAAATTATTTTATTTGAGCACTTAATTACCTTAAAGTACACCATAAAATAAGTAAGTTACAAAATTTTTGTTAATAAATATTAGAAATTAAGCCAATGGCAATAGGTTGTTTGAGATTCCTTCCATAATAAGTGATTTGCGGAAGTCACGATATCTAATGACTGCTTCATCAAAAATAAAAAAAAAACAAATATTTTCCAGTAGTAGATGAGTATGACTCGTGATTGAACGAAGGATTTTCAAATAATTGAAATTTGATTTTTGGCAGTGTTTTTTTTATCACAAATTACGATTTTTGAGGCCATTTAGACCTCAACCTGTAAAATTGGTTGTAATCAACAGAAAAAAATACTTTGTTCAATCACTAGTTAATACTATGTAGAAAAAGTGAACCAAATTTCAGAAAAATCGGTGCATTAGTTTTTGAGAAATCATGTATCAAAAAATCGCTATCTCAAATAGTCAAAATTTGAATCATAATGATATCCTAGGGAGATCTTAGTGATATTTCTAGAATATTTTAACGATATACCAACTTTATCCCAAGAATATCCCCACGATATCACTAGGATATCCCTAGAATATTCTCAAGATAGCCCTAGAATATCCTCAGGATATCCCAGAATATCCTAAGTATATTCCCAGGATATCCCAAAAATATCCTACGTAACGGCGGTTTGGATGTTCTGAGGATATCCTCAGGATATCCTATGGACGTTTTCAGAATATCCTGCATTAGTTTAGGATATACTGAGGATATCCTCAGGATATCCTTTTGTTGTGAGGGAGTAATACTAAAAGTGTTAATTTCAAAATGTCAAAACTTTTTTTAAAAAATCGTAAAATAATTTTAAAAAATGGCTTTTTAAGCTTAAGAGTAGTACTATAGGATCCGTTTGTCGAAAATTGATAAAAAAAATTTCTATCCAAAAAAAAAATTATCAAAAATGACTATAACAGACATTTTTTTTTACTCTTTAGAATTCATTTACTAAAAATCCTGACGTGAAGGAGCATTTTGAAGGTCAGATTCGTTTTCAGCACAAAAAAATCTATAAGAATCACCTAGAACTATTTTAATTACTTACTGGAAAAATTAAATTTCGCAGGCCTGTGTAATTACAAATAATACTCACTAAATTGTTAATGTTTAAACAAATAAAAATTTTAGAAATAATTACCATGATTAATGACATCAGTGTCCTGAACTTCGGGTTTTTGTTCAATTTTTTCTAAATTTTTATGTTTTCTTTTTTTTGTTCTGAAATAAAAATTTTTCGTTAAAATTAAAAGCATGAAATAAATTATTTTTCTATTAAGAAAATTTATAAATAATGTGTAGTATGAATAAAAACGTAGAAAATGGCTGCAGCCCGTATAATATTCAATAAATAAATAAAATATGTTACTGAAATTAATAAATTAAAGGTTAAAAATTTCAGAAAATTGAAAATGTTAGTCTTCAGTTATCTTTATGTTTTATATATTAATAAACAATAGAAAAAATATTTTTACAAAATTTGAGAATTATGTAAAACAATCAACTAATTATACAATTTTACAAATTATAAATATTAACAATTAGATTAAGAAAGTCATCAAGAAAAGTGTAATAGTAAATATTTTTAATAAAATAAATATATAACTGAAATTATAAAATTAAAATTACTTCTGTTTTTCTCCTTTAAGTACAAGTTTTCCTGTACGAATTCTATTGTACTCCATTTAAATAGATTAATAAATTATACTTGGAACAACTTCTATTTTATTATTTTTTGTCAACAATTTCGATGTTTACTTTTTTGCACGGTCGTATATATACAGGTTCGGAATCTCTTCAATGCCGATAATGGTGAGACGGGATCCTGTGGTGTAAACTCGCCGACAGGTGGCTACGTGTCGAAAAGTGTAATCTCTATCTTTGTCTTTCTTTCTAGGTGAAAGAAATAGAGCTTACTTTTCGACTCGTAGCCTTATTGACATTATTATTCTAAAGGTGCTTATATACCTCAAATTTCGATCAGATGAACATTATTTCTGGACCGTGAAAATGCGTGAAAAGTCATTTTCACGGCGGGTATTTTTGAATTGTTTTAAACAAAAAATGTTTTTTTAAGAAATATAATATTAAATAATTGTTTTAATATGTAAGAACACTTTAAAATAGTGATAGAGAGATGATTTGATTAAAAAATTTAGCAAATTTTGCTTTAAAACGTTTTCTGCTACAAGAAAGTGTAAAATGACGATGTTTGTGAAATGGTTTGTACAGTGTACATGTGTACATGTTTTTTTCAGTTATTCGAAACAATTAGTTGAATTTAAATTTATTTGATAAACATTTCAACTTACCGATTTATTTTCAGCACTCATTATTTATTACAAGTTAAAAAGAACCGACATAACATAAACAAAACTCTGAGAGACACTCACAAGGAAGAAGCACTGTACAAACCATTTCACAAACATCGTCATTTTACACTTTCTTGTAGCAGAAAACGTTTTAAAGCAAAATTTGCTAAATTTTTTAATCAAATCATCTCTCTATCACTATTTTAAAGTGTTCTTACATATTAAAACAATTATTTAATATTATATTTCTTAAAAAAACATTTTTTGTTTAAAACAATTCAAAAATACCCGCCGTGAAAATGACTTTTCACGCATTTTCACGGTCCAGAAATAATGTTCATCTGATCGAAATTTGAGGTATATAAGCACCTTTAAGGACAACGCTGAATAGAAATGTAACCGGAATTGTAACCGCAACGCAACCGGAATAGTGAGTTAGAGATGGACAAACAATATGTCTATCCTTCTCTAACTCATTCTTCCGGTTGCGTTAGCGTTTGCAATTCCGGTTACAGCCTTTCTCTACGGAAGCCTGTACGGCTCACGAGCGTCTCGGACGCAAGTGGCGGTGTTTCGTACCACAAGTGGTACGAAGTCCGTCCAACTTGTGGCAAGAGTTCGTGCTACTTGTTGGACAGACTTCGTGCCACTTGTGGAAAGTGGATTTTTTGAAGGGTCATTCACAAAATCACAAATATGACAATTCCGTTGGATCCTGTTGCTATCTATTTCGTCAGTGCTTTTCATTTCAATTTCATGTGAAGAAGAAAAAATGAATTTTATAAGATATTAGTAATATTAGCATATTAGTAAATGTCATCGAACAAACTTTTTATAGTTCACACATAAATACTCCTTCCAAACGTAAATATACATATTAATAAACTACGGATTCCACAAAGAATTAAGCGGAAGTTTTTTCTTAGTTTAGAATAAAAATAAGATTTTTTGGTTATGTTGCCATTTTTTAATTTAAAATACATGAAGAGCATTTTATTTTTTAAAATTAAAAGTATATTTTTATGAATATTTAAGATTAATAAAGATGTCAATATCATTTGTTTACACTGAAATGTAATCTTTTACATATATTTTCAATTAAAAAATAACAAATTCATTTTTATTCAAAAACATTAAACGGACTTGCCCGGATGAAATTATACTTGAAATGAAAAGCACTGACGAAATAGACGGCAACAGAATACAACGGAATTGTCATATTTGTGAATGACCCTTCAAGAAATCCACTTTCCACAAGTGGCACGGAGTCTGTCCAACAAGTGGCACGAACTAACGAACTTGCCACAAGTTGGACGGACTTCGTGCCACTTGTGGTACGAAACACCGCCACTTGCGTACGAGACGCTCGTGAGCCGTACAGGCTTCCGTATAAAGGTGCTTTTATACCTCAAATTTCGATCAGATGAACATTATTTCTAGACCGTGAAAATGCGTGAAAAGTCATTTTCACGGCGGGTATTTTTGAATTGTTTTATACAAAAAATGTTTTCTTAAGAAATATAATATTAAATAATTGTTTTAATATGTAAGAACACTTTAAAATAGTGATAGAGAGATGATTTGATTTAAAAAATTAGCAAATTTTGCTTTAAAACGTTTTCTGCTACAAGAAAGTGTAAAATGACGATGTTTGTGAAATGGTTTGTACAGTGTACATGTGTATATGTTTCTTTCAGTTATTCGAAACAATTGGTTGAATTTAAATTTATTTAATAAACATTTCAACTTACCGATTTATTTTCAGCACTCATTATTTATTACAAGTTAAAAAGAACCGACATAACATAAACAAAACTCTGAGAGACACTCACAAGGAAGAAGCACTGTATAAACCATTTCACAATCATCGCCATTTTACACTTTCTTGTAGCAGAAAACGTTTTAAAGCAAAATTTGCTAAATTTTTTAATCAAATCATCTCTCTATCACTATTTTAAAGTGTTCTTACATATTAAAACAATTATTTAATATTATATTTCTTAAGAAAACATTTTTTGTATAAAACAATTCAAAAATACCCGCCGTGAAAATGACTTTTCACGCATTTTCACGGTCCAGAAATAATGTTCATCCGATCGAAATTTGAGGTATAAAAGCACCTTAAAGGCACTGCACACTTCCCGAGTATTCACTTTATCAAAAGTGCGCTAAAATTCCCAATTCGGAAACGACCCAACCATTCATTCCTCGTCCAAACCAACAGTGGTATGAAAGCACCTTTAACTGAAAAGAAGATTGTGTCACATTCTGGAGGTTCTACTTTACAAACATGATTTGGAAATAACAGGGATTCAAAGTATATTACCTGCACATCCCTGATCTCAGGTGTTTGCATTTAACAGCTGTGCTCCAGCTATTTGGGCCTGTAAAAAAGAAATCTGCAGTACATACAAATTTTGTTTAAAAAAAAGTTCTTCATGAAAAGTATTTCATCAAAACTCGTAAAAAATGGCAGATGAAAATGAGGATCAATGGTTATACGGCGACTCGGTAGATAGTAAAGAGTGCACGGATCCAGCCACTAATTCCATAACTGATGGAAATGATGCTTCTTTCGAACCACAAGAAGATTCTTTAAATCTCGATAATGAAAGAAATGTAGAAAACGGCAATGCAGTGGTATGTAAATAAAACTGTCAACTTCAGTTTATATCAACTTTTTCTTTTTTTCGTCTTATTTTTCTCTTTCTCTAAAACTTGCAATATTTTTTATTTGAATAAAAGCTATCACTTCTTTGTTACACTGGCTACGAGTGGAATCTATTGAATATTCTACTTTGCTCAATTATTTTTAATTTTAAATAATGTATTGATTATATGATTGTTGAAATCTTTAATTAATAACAATACTATTGAATGACATGACACTTTTATACTTTCAATATTTTTCGGAATTTTGAATATAACCATTTAAATTATATTAAACATCCGTCTAAACGAATAACCTAACCTCAAAAAAATTATTTCGTCTAATATTACTGTCAGAATTTTTTACGAGAATATTCAGATTATAATAAGTGTCTATTAATTTATTAACAATTGAGTTTATTTATTTAAAGACATAATTATTTCAATTGTTAGTCAGTTTAATTAATTTTCAAATTAATTATTACTCCTGAATTTGTAGTGAGTGGTTTAAGGGTCCTTGAAATATTCGAAAATTACAACGGACAAACAAAAAGATTTCTAAAAAACAATTAATGAAAATAAAAGAGATTATTTAAAACCACATGATAAACAAACAGTCCTAACACAAATATTATATAAAAATAAAATGCTTGGTCTGTCCTTCTGTCCTAACTTGAAGTTGGCCTTTTCTGATTTCACGTGTTTTGTTGAATAGTAATCTTATGACGTGTCAAATTTTGACAATTCTTTTTCTCATTTTTGCCAAAGTTGGATAATCGTGTTTCCAAATTTGGGAATAAGTTTCTTTAAAATTCCAAATTCCAAAATTCAATTCACGAAGCTGAAGTACACAACGTTTACAAACGAAATTTTTTTTAAAGTTGTATATTCATTCAAAAATTGTATACAAATACAAAAAATTTCTGATGAGAAAAAAGATGCGCCAAGAAATTTCGTACATGATAGTAATTTGAAAATGATTAATTTTTAAAAATTAATTTTTAAGGTACCAGGGGCCAACAAATACCTATTAAATATTAATTATAAAAACACAGGCCTCGAATCAACTTAAAGACACAAAAAGTCGTTTTAGTCGATTTATATTCCAAAAAAAAGTGGATTTGTTTACAAAATATTTTACAGATTTTTAAATAAAAATTTTTTTTTTAATAATAATCCTTTTCGAAGGGTTAAAGTTGAAATTTTTAGAAATAATTAAATTTCAAAAGATATTGTTAATTTTCAAACAATTATTAAATTTTACAGAAATAAAAATAATTTATCAAACAATTTTTGGAAAACATTTTTTAAATTTAATTGAATTTTCAAAGATTTAAAATTGAGATTTTTGAAATTAATTGAAACTTTAAGTGATTTTTAATTAATTAATTCAAAAAAAAAATTTTCGATGGAAAATTTTAGAAATAATTGAATTTTAGATGCTTTTAAATTCAAATTATTGAAAATTCAATTAATTTTGAATTCAAATTTTTGAGAATTAAATTTTATTTGATTTTAAATTTGGAAAATAATTGAATTGAAAATTTTGGGAAATAATTGAATTTTAATTGAAATTTTGGATAATAATTTAATTTAAGTTCATTTTTTATTGAAAATTTGGATAATTAATTTTGAATAGAAATTTTTATAAAATAATTGAATTTTATTTCATTTTAAATTAAAAATTTGGTAAATAATTAAATTTTAAATTGAAAATTTTGGATAATTATTGGATTTTTCATTGATTTTGAATTAAAATTTCGGGTAATAATTGAATTTTAGTTTATTTTGAATTGAAATTTTTAAAAAATAATTCAATTTTATTGTGATATTTTTTTAAAATTATAAACAATTGAGGGCCTCCATGCAATAAGGGGACGAACGTGATTTTCGTTGTCTCCTTGCGCAGCCGGCCGCGCGCCGTCCGTGGGGACTTCTACTGGCGCGCTCGTCCCCTTATTGCATGGAGGCCCTCAATTGTTAAATTTCATAAAAATTTTAATTGAAAAATAATTTTGATATAATTGAATTTGTGATGTATTTCATTAAAATTATTAAATATAATTAATTTAGTGAAGAATTTTAGCTAAAATATGAATTTTCGATATTTCAATTTTTATTAATTCTCAAATTTTATATGAAATCTATACTTTACATATACCAACCAATTCGTTTCAATGCAGGGAATAAAATTATTTCATATATAAACATGTATTTAAATAAACACAACATTTTTTAGCTGAAATGTGAATTTTTTACTTTTTAACTTTCATTAGGTAATTCTTTAAATTTCAATCAAATCTATACTTTATGTACAGGGTGTCCCAGTTTAATCTATCAGGCGAAATAACTTTTAATCAGTTGATTTTACAAAAAAATGATTTAGACAAAAGTTGTTGTGCTCAGAGGGGGACATCCAGTGGTAAACTTCAATTTGACCTAAATTAGGTCATTTTAAGGTCAACTCATTTTTTTAAAATGGAACCACCTACTTTTTTATTCCGGAAATCGATAAAGCAGGAAATTCCATGTCGAAATCATTGATGCACTTTCTTTCGATAGGTCGACCTATTTAGGACAAATAGGTCATTTAATTTTTATTGTATTAGAAGAAATAACTTTGAACTAATTAATTTTACAAAAACATGTTTCAGTCAAAAGTTGTTGTACTTAAAGGGGAATATTCAGTGATGACCTTAAATTTGTCCTAAATGACCTTAATTAGGCCTAATAGATTAAAATGTGACACCCTGTATATCAATCGATTCATCTTGACGTAAGGAGGACGATTATATTATATATTAACTTAAATTTTTCGATTAAAAAAAAATTTTTGGAAAAAAGACGATAAAATTTTTTTTGGGGTATTTTTAAAAATCCTCTCGTCATTTTCGAGAGATTAATGTGTTAAAAAGGCCTACCAAATTTTATCCAAATCCAATAAAAACTGTTAAAGATAACGTGTTCACAAAAACGATCCACACACACATACATACATACATCCGGAAAATTGATCAGGATCTCATATAACATGTTTTTATATAGAGGAAAATTTTTTTTCACCATTTTTAAAAATTTTATAAACGAAACGAATACAAAGCTTCCTCCACGAGGAAGCAAAATGGAAAAAGTCTTAAATTTTTATTGGTTTAAAGGAGGAGGGCCCATAAGCCCTATATTTGGGTCATTTAGGATATTGATTTAAATGATTGAAGTGTATTTTTTTACAAACAAGAAGTATATTTTTGATGATTTAAGGTGAAACGGGGGAATTTTAGTCATATTAACCCTTTGAAACGAAGAGTTTTTGGCGGACGAGTTTTGTAAAAAATTGTTGGATTCACTTGAATCTTGTTACTCGGAGGTTTTTTAGGATCGCTGATTACGAATCTGAAGTCGTATTTTCAAAATTCCCGTTTTACTTTAAATCATCAAAAATATATTTCTACTTTGTAAAAGAATACATTTCAATCATTTAAATCAATATCCAAAATTGCCTAAATATAAGGCTTATGGGCCCTCCTCCTTTTACTCTCAATACTTTTTTTTAATACTCTTTATTACTTTTTTTAAAATTGACAAAAATAATTTTTTTCAAATTTCAATAATTTAGAATAAGTTTAAACCCTAAATCATGCAAGAAAAAAAATTAAATAGAAAATGTAAACTTTTTTATGGTTTTCACCATAAAAATCAAATTTTCGGGTATTGTCACTATGATTTTCGTAATCAGCGCATCAAAATACATAAAAATACGTAGTATAAAAAAAAACAAAAATAAATTTAAAAAATTCAAAAATTTTTGAAAAATTCCGAAAATATTGTAAAAATTGTTTGTCCATTATCGGGCTAGGCTTAAAAGTTTCGTAAAAAGAAGTACTTTTTTTGAAAAAATTTTGAAAAAAATCGATCAGTACGTCAAATGAGAAAAATGACTTTTTATCATTAACCTTAGAAGAAGTAACTGAATTTTCTTACCCTCTAAAGGGTAACTGGGGTGTCCAGACACCCCCAACTTGAAACTTGTGTAAAAACGTTTCTATTTAACATAAAATTAATTATATAGTAATTTTTATTGCTTTTTTAGTAAGGAAAACAATAGTTTCACTGATTTTTTGATAAAATAAAAAAAAGTTGAAAAAAACTTGCAAAAACGAAAAAAAAACCGAAAAATTTGCAAAAATTTTCTTTTTTTTAAAAAATGCTGTAGTTTTTCGAAAATTTGACTATTTAAAAAAAATCGATTAGATTTTGAAAGGTGAATAGATACACTTTTAGAAAAAAATATTGGTTTTTGCATTATTTTAAAAAAATATAATTATTTGAACAACTGAAGTGCAAAAAAAAATTGAAGAAAATTGACCAATTGAAAAAATCACAAAAATTAATTATAAAATAGATTTTATCAATTAATATTTATTAGAATGGGTGTTATAAATATAAAATTTTACGAATTGAATATTTATATAATATATGTGAATATATTATTATCAGTAATAATCCTCAATTGAAATTTCATATGAAGTTATAAATAAAAAATGTTTATTTTTTCTAACAATATATAATTTGTTCAAAAATATTTTTTTTTTTAAATACAACTTATTTTTATGTACAACCTATAAATTTTTAGTCTATTAGATGATTTGAACTGATTAAAAAAGATTTTACATAAAATTTAAATTTACTTATTTTGTCAATTTTGTAACGTTAGGGGGTAACTGGGGTGTAAATATACCCCACATGTATTTTAATTTGATACAGAGCTGTTTGTGGTGCAGAAATTTCGCGCGCATTACCGTAGATCAACTGTCAGATGTACAAATTAAATTATCGTTATGGTCCCATCGCGAAAATATGATTGGTTAAGTCAGGAACATACTTTGAATGTTGCTTGGGGTGTCTAGACACCCCAGTTACTCCTTCTAGGGTTAAAACTGAAAAATTTTACAGTAATTTTCGATTTTTTTTTGCAAAGTACGTTTAAAAACACACATTTTGAAAAAAAAACTTTTAAAATTGATGCATTTTTAAGGAAGTTATGAGCATTGAAAAATTAAAAGTCATGAAAATTCTCCAATTTTGAAAATTTCATAACTCGAAAATGGCTTGCTAAAAAAATTTGAAAAAATTCATGGAAGCTAGTCTCAATTAGTACTAAAAGAAAAAAAAATCTCAAAAAAGTCGGAGATGCAATTGCAGATAAACTTTCACTTTGGCGTGGAATACATCATATACAATATACATATTAGTCAAATTTTTTGTGCCCTGCGTGGCATTTTTTTGGATTCGTAATCAGTGCTCTCAAAAATCTCTAGGTACAAATTTTCCTAAAAAAAGAATTTTTAATACATTTTGTCGAATTCCCTCGGCCAACGATGGGGTTAATAATATCTGTGGCAAGAACAGATACATAGTTTTAATAATTTATTTTAATTTTGAAAATCTCACTTAAAATAATGAAATTCCTAATCAGCAACCCAAAAACCCCAAAAATGAGCAATATTACTTAATTTGGTTCATTTTTCTGGTTTACACGCTAAAATTTATCACTCATTTAAATCCCCAGTAAAAAAAAGTATTGGGAGGAAGCGAAAAGAATTTTCACATGTATCAATTGAATTTACGTTTATTGATTCGAGTTGGCATTATAAATGAAAGAAGTGATTGTTCTTAAGGGGGGAAACCACATTACGACGCTGTTTTTTAAACCGTTTTTCGGGATTTTTTTCAAAAGGGATAACATTTTTTAAATGAAATGCAAAAATGACATTATGTTGCAAATATATTTATCTGTGTCTCACAATTTTTTAAAACATTCCAAACTATTAAACCTGGAGCTGTGCCGTCTGAGTTTATGATTGCTGTGCATGGTAGAGTCCACAAATTTGATCTAATAGCAAAAACTGAAGGTTATTCACATTTTATACAAATTTTATTATTAATTGAACTAACTTTTAAGTGAAAATATTGAAAAATTGACACTACTTTTAAGTTAATGTTTGATTTTTGGCATATTTTTTTGCGTCTTTGAGATTAAAAAAGAAGGTATTAAAATTTTTTTTTCTTTCAAACGTTTAGTTCACTTAATAATAAATTTAATAACGAACAGTTTGCAATTTTCTTTTTCGAAATCGGTCAATAACATTTTGAGCTATCCTGCACAGCAATTTCAAAAATCCTGTTTCGAGAAAAACGCGTTTGAAAAAATTATCGAAAATTTGAAAATAATTATAAGAAAAAACCATTTAAAGTGCTTATACTTTAATCTGATATTCCTTCACCATACATTAGTCCTTCCTCTTCTTCATAACTCAAATCATAAATTCACAAAGGGATTTTCTCAGCGACGCCGTTACCAACCTGTTTCGCTACTCGGAGCAAGCTTCATTCTTCTCTGTGCCTGTAGCACAGAAAGGACACAGAATTTCGCTGTAGAAACTTTTTCAACATACTTTTGAATACATAAGCTGACTATTTTAACCCTTTTAAGTGTAAAAATGCCGATTACGAAAAGCTAGCCTTAAAGCTAGTAAAATAGTTTGTAATAATTTAATATTTTATCTCCAAAATATAAGTTGGATATTATTTGATTTCTATAAAAAAAAGAAAAAAAATCAGAAAGAAACTATTTTATTCCCGCAACTGTAATAAAATAAGTTAATCAATACAATCTTATTTTGATAATTTGTATTTTTTCAGAATCTCTCCGAAGAATTGAGCACTTTAGAACGCGAAGAGCAATCTGACTTGAATGATTCTAACGTTGATGATGCAGGAATAAATAAAAATGGAACAAAAGACAACGTTAATCAAGACGACGGTGAACCGGCAAGTGATTCTGATTCCGATGATGATGTACATGTCGTTATTGGTGACATTAAATCAGCACCAACTTACAGTAGTTTAAATATAAAACGAAGTGGTCTTTTGACTTCTGGTAATGTACCTGAAAAAATAAACAAGCTTCCTGGGAAATTTAGTATTGATGAATTTGAAACAATTGGTGTGATAAATGGCATTCCTGCACATGAATTTAATCTCGATCAATTGGAAGATAAACCTTGGCGTCAACCCGGTGCCGATATCACTGATTATTTTAATTATGGTTTCAATGAAGAAACATGGCGTGCTTATTGTGAACGTCAAAAACGCATGAGAAGTGAATCGGGCGTTGGATTAATTTTAAATGCCGGTAGCGGTGTTGGTAATACCGGAAGTTTAGGTTCAAGAGTACCACAAGTAACAATAACCAATTACAATAGTAAATATTCGGGTATTATGGGGCCAAAAAGAGCTGGACCACCACCTGGGAGAAAAATGGCGGGAACTATCGATGTAATTGGTAGTACTGGCTTGGCATCACGACGAAATCTTGATAAATCACCACCAAAAGAAAATGTCATTCAAGTTATGACTGCCGATAGAAGGGAGTACTCGCGAAAACCTGGATTTCCTGACATGAGTGTTCCACCACCGGTAACTGTTCCGCCACCGACTTTTGATATGCCACCTCCTGGATATCAAGAGCCAGCACCATATTTCGTACCAGAAGTTGATCCATACTATCAAAGCTATGAACCAACTCAAGACAGACAATGGGGTGGTGATCCGGTAAGTAAGAAAATTTTTTTTTTTCGCCATGGGGCACAGTGTGACAAACAGTACTTTTTTGGACAAAATTATGCTGACTGATCAAAATTTAACAGAATTAATTTGCCTAACTGACGAAAAATCGCAATCGCATTTTTTTTGCCGAGTAAAGAATGTAAAAAATAGTTATTTATGATACATGTGCGAAAAGTGAGTGATTATATACGAGTATAATCAGATTTACGCACGTGTATCATACAATATTTTTTGCAACACCCACCTCTAAAGTTAAGTACCTATTATGAAGAATTCATTGAGATAAAAAGAAAGCAGGAAGTCAAATAATTATGGAAAAATTTCTACATAAATGTTTAAAAAATCAAAATTACATACTTTGCTAAATATCTTACTTTATTTAGTTACATGAAAAATTCTTTTTTTAATTTTGTGGTTTTGTATGGTCTAAAAACAATCCTTTATAGTAATGTGAGAAAAATTTCAGTGCGTAAAGTGAATTACTTTACACACCGTTTTAAAAAGAGCTTCTTTACACACACTTTTCGGTGTGTAAAATTTAACTTTAGAGGTTAGTGTTGCAAAAAATAATTTCTGTTGTGAAAATGGGAGGATTCCCAAAGAATTATGGTTTGATTTGGTTTTGGTTAATGGCCTGTTGTCTCCGAAGGTCAAATAGCCATAAAATAAATTGAATGTGGTCAAGTATCATGAATATTTGCTGTATATGCATAATGCACGAAAATTGCATAATTTTTTCTTGAAATCTTTTCGGTGTTATAAATACAAAAAAAAAGAAAAAAATTTTCTTGATATACATTCAGAAGCAGAACTTTATCAGCTTTCCAACCATCTAAGTTAGAAACCTCTAACTTTTTTCTAACTGAAAATATCTTGCTTTAAAGTCCGCACCGAATTTCCACTCCTCGCACGTTAATCGTATCGACAATTTCCGACGGTAGTGTATATGTAATCGAGCTTAAATTAAATTGTGATTCAAATAATTATATTGTGTTGATTAAAGAATTTTTTAATTTCCATAATTGATCTGGATTGAGGGTTAATGCCGCAATCCTTAAATTTGTTGCCGGATCGTTAGTATCTGACTCACACAGTGGTTTGAAATCAAAAAGTAGGGTTCAAAACAGTCTAGAGCCTACAAATCGCAACCGATTTTGGAATTTTTTTTTATATAATCTTTAATAAAATTGTAAGAGATCCCTCGAGCCCGATTTTTGATTTTCAATTTAGTGACCCAGGGGTTTTTGGCATCGCTGATCACGAATTCGATGTTTGTTTTTCAAAAAATCAAAATCGAATAGCATATCCAATAAGGTAGACAATTTTGTAAAAATTAAATTCGATTGAAAATTGTTATTTAGGTCTTTTTGTTACTGTATATAAATTATACATTAGTCTTTTTAAAAATTTTAAATGTCTTCTAAGAAAACTTTTTTAAGCGAATCCAATGAATTTTTGAAAATTCGTTCGTGATATTGGATCCGCCATTTTGGATTTTGAAAAACTGACATCGAATTCGTGGTCAGCGACCCCAAAAACCCCCGAGTAACCAAATTTAAGCGAATTTAAGCGATTTTTAAAATTTTGTCCGCCATATTGGATCCGCCATTTTGAATTTTGAAAAACTGACATCGAATTCGTGATCAACGACCCCGAAAACCCCCGAGTAATCAGTTTCATTTAAGTTAATTGAAATCATTGCCCAAATTAACAATTTGTTTATAGCAATTTACTAATCCCTATTGAAAATCCCCACATGGGAAACCACATGGGAAACCACATGGGATCCTATGTCAAAAACTATGTAAAACCCCATTCCCCATATGGGAAACCACATGGGATCCCATATAAAAACTCATGGGAAATTGGGACAGGAATTGGCATAGGAAAATATCAAAACGAGGTTCCTCCATGTCATTTCCTATGTCAAATCCCATGTCAAATATCATGTTAAATACCATGTTAAATACTAATTGAGATCCTTTATCACTTTTTTGAAAAATTTTCCCATGTCAAACCCCATGTCATTTCCCAAGTAAAAACCTTTATCATTTTTTTGAAAAATTTTCCCATGTCATTTCCCATGTGAAATCTTTTATCATTTTTTTGAAAAATTTTCCCATGTCAAATCCTCTTTCGCCTTATCGAAAATACCCACATAGGAAAGCATATGGGAATCCACATGGGACACCATATGGTAATCCACATGGGAAATGGAATACGATTTCATGTGCATTCTTCCAAATGATAAAACAAATAGATTTAAGCATAGGAAATCATATAAGATTTCATATAGATTCTGAAATGTCAACCTAAGATTTCACATGGATTTACATATAGGAAACGATATAGGATTTTATTCGGGAATTTTTTAGTTGGCTGCTTTATGCAGGCGGCAGTTTACAAAAAAAATTAATTATTTGATTAAATATCAAATAATAATACTTCAACTCATCTGAAAATAAAAAAAAGTTTACTTTACTTCTGCCTTAGACTCTCAGCTTTTATAGTATTCCAGACTGATCTCAACTGTGAGAGAAAATATTTTCACCATCTGGTGGTGAAACAATGAAACTATAATGACGATCAACATCTATATTGAAATTTCCTATGTCATTTCCCATGTGAAATCTTATCATTTTTTCGAAAAATTTTCCCATGTCATTTCCCATGTGAATTCCTTTATCATTTTTTTCAAAAAATTTTCCCATGTCATTTCCCATGTGAAATCTTTTATTATTTTTTGGAAAAATTTTCCCATATCAATTCCCACGTCAAACCTCATGTCATTTGCCATGTGAAATCCTTTATCGTATTCCATTTCCTCTGTGGATTCCCATATGCTTTCCCATGTGGGTATTTTCGATAGGGCGAAAGAGGATTTGTCATTGGAAAATTTGTCAAAAAAATTATGAAGGATTTCACATGGGAAATGACATAGGAAATTTCAATATAGATGTTGATCGTCATTATAGTTTCATTGTTTCACCACCAGATGGTGAAAATATGTTCTCTCACAGTTGAGATCAGTCTGGAATACTATAAAAGCTGAGAGTCTAAGGCAGAAGTAAAGTAAACTTTTTTTTATTTTCAGATGAGTTGAAGTATTATTATTTGATATTTAATCAAATAATTAATTTTTTTTGTAAACTGCCGCCTGCATAAAGCAGCCAACTAAAAAATTCCCGAATAAAATCCTATATCGTTTCCTATATGTAAATCCATGTGAAATCTTAGGTTGACATTTCAGAATCTATATGAAATCTTATATGATTTCCTATGCTTAAATCTATTTGTTTTATCATTTGGAAGAATGCACATGAAATCGTATTCCATTTCCCATGTGGATTACCATATGGTGTCCCATGTGGATTCCCATATGCTTTCCTATGTGGGTATTTTCGATAAGGCGAAAGAGGATTTGACATGGGAAAATTTTTCAAAAAAATGATAAAAGATTTCACATGGGAAATGACATGGGAAAATTTTTCAAAAAAATGATAAAGGTTTTTACTTGGGAAATGACATGGGGTTTGACATGGGAAAATTTTTCAAAAAAGTGATAAAGGATCTCAATTAGTATTTAACATGGTATTTAACATGATATTTGACATGGGATTTGACATAGGAAATGACATGGAGGAACCTCGTTTTGATATTTTCCTATGCCAATTCCTGTCCCAATTTCCCATGAGTTTTTATATGGGATCCCATGTGGTTTCCCATATGGGGAATGGGGTTTTACATAGTTTTTGACATAGGATCCCATGTGGTTTCCCATGTGGTTTCCCATGTGGGGATTTTCAATAGGGATGGGTCTATATCATCATTCTACAATTCAGAGATCCAGAGGAGTAAATTTAAATACCTAACAATAAAAACTTTACATATTTTTTTGAAAATTAGAGTAATATGTAAAAAGTATGTTTTTTTTTATTTGTTTATATTAATATAATTATTTATGCAAATTGAAAATCAAAAATCGGGCTCGAGGGATCTCTTACAATTTTATTAAAGATTATATAAAAAAAAATTCCAAAATCGGTTGCGATTTGTAGGCTCTAGACTGTTTTGAACCCTACTTTTTGATTTCAAACCAGTGTGCGTAAGCCTTAAAGCATTTATAGAACAGTAAATCTTTTAATTCATTTATTTATTCAGATTATTTAATCCATTTATTCATTTTTATTTATTTATTTTATTTTTTTTAATTGATTAATTAATTAAGACTCTGAGAGAATTGGCATTTATTTGGAAAATAAATTCAATGTTTCGACATTCATTCCTGTGCGATTGTCAACTTCATTTGTTTGTTATAAACCGCAAATAATTTCTGCTATCGACGAAACAAAACAAATTGTAAGAGCAAATATTGGGCAGGATTCCGACCCTCAATGATAATACCTCATATTTAAATTATGATTATTTATATATTTATCCACAAAATTAATTTCAATCACAAAATAATTTCAGTTGAACAAGAAACAAAATTTAAATAATAAACGAAATTAATATTCAGTTAATAAGGGATTGTATTCTTAGGATGTGAGAGAAAAAATTTGCATATATTTGTTGTTTCTATTCATTGTTTACCTTGCTGTCCTTCAAAGTCAAGTATGTGTTCGTTTGTATGCCAAAATTTTTAAATTTTCATCTCCTAAATAACATTTTCCACTTTTCTTTTAAATAAATCTCCAAGTTAAACCAAAATTTAATCTTATTTAAGTCAATCCTCAGAATTCTGTCTATTATTAAAAGATTTGCGTTTACACTTCTCACTTTTAGTTTCATTTTTATCAAATTATTTCACAATATTTCACGCCATTCCCAGATAACTAAATATTTAAATAATTGAGTTTTCATATAGATTTTAATTTTTAACGCAGGTGACCAATGATAGTTCCAATTAACACATTTATAAGTAATAGTTTTTGTTTAAACAAGAGTGACACATTTAAGCGTCTGTATACTTTGAATGCCCCGGTTAGAATCCCAAAGAATTATGAAAATATCAATTATGTTAAAATCTCGATATATAATCAAAGACATCTGAATATACTCAAAAAAATTTTGATTTTCAATTTTTTACGGTAAAAAAATTTGATTTTTTTGATAATTAGACACACCAGGCCTATAATTCTTGACCGATTAGCAGGAAACTTACCAATATCAATTAGGTTACAATCTGTCCCACGGTGCGCCAGAAGGAGGTTTAAATAAAAATGAATTGTCACTTAAAAATTCTTTTTGATTATGATTCTAAGATGAATAAAAAACTTTTCTCAATAGGTTTTAAAATCAGCTTACGTGCCCAATTTAAAACAAATTGAGTTTTAAATATTTAAAAATAGTGTTTTATGAGGAACCAGAATTTACTTAATGTATACTTATATGCGTATAGATCATAGATGTTTTAGATTTGGGTTCATATAAATTTATTAACAATGAAGTTATTTTCTTGTTTCGTTTTTATATTTATGCATTAAGAGTGTCGAACAGTATCTGAAATTCTTTGGCAAGAAGAGAGCTTTAATTATCGCTCTGAACGTGAAATAGTATTGATTTTAAAATACTTTTTTCTCGAAACACGAACACTTTTAACAAAATCAGCCAAAATCCTCATCTTATAAATTTCCTAAATCCAAAAGACTGTACGAATCCATAGAAAAACATGGTTGCAAAACAAAAAGTAGAAAAGTAATCTAATAACAACTGCGACTTTGTGCGCCCTGCATACTGCTGCCATCTGACGGCGGCAGGAGGTAATGAACCCCTCATTATATTACTTTTCGTTTTGCAATCGTGTTTTTGTATGGATTCGCATAATCTTTCGGATTTAGGAAATTTATATAAGATAAGGATCTCTAGCTGCTTTTGTAAAAAGTGTCCGTCTTTCGAGAAGAAAGTATTTTAAAATCAATTTTTATCATTTTCACGTTTAGTGCCGTTTTTATAGAGCGATAATTAAAGGTCTCTTCTCGCCAAAAAATTTCACAGACCATTCGACTCTCTTAAATAAATTTTGTCACTCTTAAAATCGTTCTTTTAACATTATAATTTAATTTTTTAAAATTGGACACACACACTACAGCAATATAATTATTTATATGTATTTATTAGATTAAATAAATTCTGATTCCCCATAAAACACTGTTTTTATATAAAAACTCAATTTTACTTAAATCGGGCACGTAAACTGATTTTAAAAACTATTGAGAAATGTTTGTTATTCATCTAAGAATCATAATCAAAAAGAATTTTTAAGTGCCAATTCATTTTTATTTAAACCACCTTCTGGCGCACCGTGGTCCAGCGGTCAGGGAAGTCATGGGAAAGTCAGGTAAATATTTTAGTCAGTGAAAAGTCTGGGAATGTCAGGGAACTTTTTAATAATTTGACAAAAATAAACATTTTTATGAATTTTTTGGTGCAAGACAAAATTTATAATGTTAATAAATGAAATTTTTTTTATTATCTGAAAAATACTTTAATATTTGATACTTTTCATTTTTTTTAAATTAAATATTTAATAAAGAAAAGTTGAAAAAATGATAGGAAAAAGTCAGGGAATTTCAGGAAGAAGTCAGGGAATTTTTTTGTACTTCTCGTTGGACACCCTGTAATTTTAAAAAGAATACGTGCAGAAAAATTTAAGAACGCGGGACCTGATCCGACTGTTTAAATCTGAAATTCATAATAATAATATAGATCTGATAGAGACATGATCAGATCCTCTAGATGCTTTTTAGCTGATTCATCACTGAATCATGACATTAAATGATACTTACAAAAGGTTTTGAAATCCCAAAAAAACATCTTCAATGCAAGAAGTTACGCCAATCAAAAATTATTTTAACCATCCAAACAATTCGTGAAATAAAAGTTAGCCAAGTAAATTTTAGGATTAATTAATTTTTTTAATATATGTAATTCAATTTAAAAAGTGGGAAATTATACAAATTATAATTTTAAAATATGCGTGCAGTGTAGAAAAAAAGAATAGTTTTGGTCTTAAGGCCAGGTCCAAGTGAGACAGCACCATCTACATTGAAACTAAAATTTTGGAAAATTTTCAACAGCCTTTTCTTGAAAACAAGAAGGTAAAATTCTTTTTCCTTTATGGATAATTGATTATTGGCAAGATATACACCAGCTAAAACTTTTTTTGAGTTAAAATAATAAAAAAAATTTCATGTCAATAAATTAAATATGAGCACTTTTTTTCACAAAAACTGTAACAGTACTTTCTCAGAAATTACAATCAAAAATGCAATTTCCATTTGGAAAATTAATAAACGCTAAAAAATACACGACCTAAGATTTACCAATCACGAAAATAACAAAAAAAAAGTATTTTAACATAACATATTTTACTCATTATGACAGCCGTTTGGCAGGTTATATATGTCACCAGACGTTTCGCAGTTTTGCCGAAAGGAGGAGATTGGCTCTCTTGCTAACCACCTGAAATACATAATCTACCAAAGGGCTGTCACAATCAGTAAAGCAGTATCAATATGTTAAATATTTAATAAAATTTTTTTTTTTATTTTCGTGATTGGTAAATCTTAGGTCGTGTATTTTTTAGCGTTTATTAATTTTCCAAATATAAATTGCATTTTTGATTGTGATTTCTGAGAAAGTACTGTTACAGTTTTTGAGAAAAAAGTGCTTATATTTAATTTATTGACATGAAATTTTTTTTATTATTTTAACTCAAAAAAAGTTTTAGCTGGTGTATATCTTGCCAATAATCAATTATCCATAAAGGAAAAAGCATTTTACCATCTTGTTTTCAAAAAAAGGCTGTTGAAAATTTTCCAAAATTTTAGTATCAATGTAGATGGCGCTGCCTCACTTGGACCTGGCCTTAATATGAAATGGAGTTAATAATTATCAAAAATAATTAATTGGAATCAATTTTTTGATTAAGAAAAATTTCTATCGTAGGCACAGTTATGAAAACTTGGCGTGAATTATTTTTAAGTATTTAATAATAATTTTTATTTGTTAATATTTATATCCATCATTAAGTTTTCGTTAATTCACTTGCAGTAGTATCCCAGTAAAAAAACTAATTAAAATGAATTGACTTTTGGTTGAATTCTCCTGAATCCCGCTTACTGATTTGTCACGACGAATTGAAATGAATTATTAATATCAGGAACCTGTAATTCGAATGAATTTAGACTTTTAATATGTCCAGTCAAATTAAAAAGATTTATGTTGTCGAAACTGGAATTCATATTAATTTGAATATTTGAATATCAATAGGAATAAATGTGAAAAAAAATTATAAATTTTTAAATGATATTAAAACCATACAAATAAATTTTGTTATTTTCTGTAAACTTGTAAATTATTTGACATATTACAAATTTAAGAAATTAAATAAAAAAATAAATTAAAAATAAAAAAATTAAAAGTGCAAATTTAAAAACACAATTTTATTAAAATTTTTAAAAAAATTGTTTAAAATATTATGTTATTTCTTAAGATTATTAATAATTTTCTCATAAAATATTTGTTATTAATTTTACTAAGTTACATAGTAAACTAATTGTTTATTAATTTATATTATTTGTCATTTATTCGTTAAGACGAATTGATAAGTATTAAAGTTTGATTTTTGGTGTCACAAATTAAAATCATTGTGACAAATTCAATTGAATTACAGTACGAATATTGAACACACGCATTTGGTCTGGTCAAACTGAAACGAATTGGACGTGATTTATCAAACGAATTGACTAACGTATTTTTATGAATTCGTGCAGAAGAATTAAAAAGAATTAAAGCTTAGAAAACTACTTCATATAAATCGAACGAATTGAGGGTTCGTCAGTTTAATAGAGGCTTGTCGAATTCAGGAGAATTGTAACATAGCTCCAATTCCTATTTGTCGCTAAACTGGATTCACCAAACCTCTTCGCGAATTCAATCCAATTCATGTCAATCCTTTATCGTTTACTGGGATAGGTAAAAAAAATAATTCACATCAAGTTTTCATAACTACGCCTAAGGTAGAAATTTTTCTGAAACAAAAAATTGATTTCAATTAATTATTTTAATAATTATAAACTCTATTTCATATTTAGACCAAAACTATTCCTTTTTTTCTACATTGCATGCATATTTTTAAATTATAATTTGTGTAATTTCCCATTTTAAAATTTAATTATTCATATTTAAAAAGTTAATTAAAACTTAACATAATCCTGAAATTTACTTGGCTAACTTTCATTTCACGAATTGTTTGGATGGTTAAAATAATTTTTGCTTGACGTAACTTTTTGCATCGAAAATGTTTTTGTTGGGATTGACTCTACTTTTAGATAATCAAATAAAAAGATATGATTTTTTTTTCATTTTTCGACTTAGGAGTCTCCATAATAAATCTTTTTTTTTTTGTCTTATTTCAGACTTGGCCATCAGCTAATTTGTCTATTCCATTATCAGACAATGGAGATAAAGAGTCTAATCCAAAACCTATTTCTACAATGATTCCACCAATGTCTATGTCACCCATAATGTCTATGCGTGATCAAAGGGAAGGAAGAGAAAGAGATTGGGAGAGGGATCGTGATCGTGATATGGAAAGTTTATCTCGATCTCGTGATCGAGAAAAAGATCGTGACAGAGAAAGAGATAAAGAGTCAATGGTCAGAGAAAGAGAGAAAGAATCTGTAGCAAGAGAAGATGATCGAGATAGAGAAAGAGAACGCTCACATTATCGCCATAAAGAAAGGTATTTTAAATTTCATACTTTTTTTATGCTTATAGTATAAAATATTTTTTAAAAATATTCTCATATTTTTTCTTATTAACAAAAATAATAATACGAAAAATCTATATAAACGTAATATTAAAACTAATTGAAACAAATACAACAAAAACTCAAAAATAATTTTAGTGTTGTAATGCAAGGAAGAACAATTTTTAAATGCCTATTTAGTTTCTTTATAAAAAAACATCAATATTTTATTAATACAAAAAATAAGTTATATTTGTAGACCTCGGATTTTACGACTTTTTCTAGTTCTAAAATTTTTGAAATTCTTAAAAATTTGTCTATGTTCAATTGGGGCCATTCATAAAGCATGTGATGCTTTAGGGGGTAGGGAGGGTCAGTAAAATATCACACTACATGTTAATCGTAAATAGAAAAAGCATCACAAGGGGGAGGGAGGTGTTAAAATTTCGAAAAATGTATCACATACTTTATGGATGACCCCAATTTTTAAATATTATTTAATAAAAATTCTTATTCAATTCCTCTGCAATTATTCTTATTAGGGTGATTAAATTTAAAATTTTCATTTTCACCAACTACAACTGTTGACTTGGCAATGTTGGAATTGTTGGTTGAATAATTTTTTGTTTTGATTGGCTAGCATGTATAATCCATGAAATTAATTATGGTCGAGCACATGGTAGAAAATATTTTAATAATCAGACAGGTTATTGGAAAAAAAAAAATATTTCCCCGACACACTTTTTTAGTAAGTTTTCAGTAGAGGAGTCTCAAAATACAATCAGATTGACCAACAAATCGTTGTTTTTCAAAATTTAAGATAATATTAAACTTAAATTTCATCAGTAAAGTTTTTATTCCACAAGATATTTTTTTCAACTTGAGTCAGACGCCAAAGAAAAATTCAAAAATTGTTCTGCTTATACTTTTGCCTTAAATAAAGGGGTGCAATTTAAGTAATTTGTTTTTAAATCATTTTTAAATTAATTTGCATACCTTTTTTTGTATGCAGTATATAATTTTTTAATAAAATTGAATTAATTTAATTTGTGGGATCTTTTGCTGTATGCAGTTGAATCGGTAATAATTTTTTAAATAAAATATTAATATTTTAATTCGTGTGCAGTTCTTTGTATGCAGTTTAACGGTGCGCATTTTAATTGTATTTAGTATATAATTTTTATTCAAAAATATTTTTTTTTAAATAACTCGTATGCACTTTTATTGTATGCAGTTCAATTGTGGGCAACTTCAACCGCCCCAAGTTCACTTAAGGAGGTTCAACCCTCTAAAATAACCTCAAACTAAAAAGTAGTTTTTAACAGAACTAAAAATATATTTAAAATTTATTGCATCCAAATTCGACAGATCCAATTGTGCAATTTTGGAAAAAAATTATTTTGAGTTTTGTTAAATAATAATTAATAAACATTTTGTATTTTTTTCTTAAAAGTTAGTGAACAATTCTAATTTTTATCCAATTTTTATAAACAATAGCTCATTTTGCTCTTTAAAAGATTTTCTACAATTTTGCTTGTTGAATTTTATTAAAAATATTTTGTTCAAAAGTTAATAAAGAAATGAAATTTTTATTTTTTATATTTTTTAAATAAACCATTGTTTAACAAAAACACAAAAGTAGAATTATAGAGAATCTTTCAAAGAGAAAAATGAGCTATTGTTTATAAAAATTGGATAAAAATTAGAATTGTTCACTAACTTTTAAGAAAAAAATACAAAATGTTTATTAATTATTATTTAACAACAAATTTTAACTCAAAATAATTTTTTTCCAAAATTGTACAATTGGATCTGTTCTAATTTCGTCGCGCGGACGAGAGACAAAAAAAGAACAAGTGACTACGAAAACTAATTGACTAAAAGTACATTGGTTTATAAATTAGTACTCCAGATTTTTGGACTGAACAGAGAGAATTACAATTTTAATTTTAATCACCCATTAAGAAATTATTAAAATTTTTCTTCTAATGTAAATCGACTAAAACAACTTTTTTTGCGCTTTAAAGTCGATCCAAAGCTTGTATTTACTATCTTATTATGTATTTAAATTTTTTATATTTGATAAGTTGGCATATTTTTAATACTATTTTTAATGAGATTCAAATTTCTTTTTAAATATTCAGACATCGACATCGTTCACGTTCAAGATCACGTAGACATAAATCTAGATCACGAAGTCCAAGCCGAAGAAAGAAGAAATCCAGGCGATCGGAGAGGGAGAGGTCGAAAGAAGATAGTGAATAATTCAATCAAGTATTTTAAGTATCCTCCTTTTTTGTTGAATAATAAGGTTTTTTTTTCTTTTTTTATTATTTTATAACAGTGTGAAACGAACATTGTTTATTAAATAAGTAAATGGAAGCAATAAAATGTTTCATCTTTTTTATCCTTTTTTTCTTAAAATAACACAGGCCTGCAAATTTAAACTTTTTTTTTCGGGAAAATCAATGCTACTAGGTATTTCCGAAGGGAATTTTCGCGCTCAACAAATCACGTCAAATTTTTTGAGAAAAATACTAAATACTACTGTTTCTAAAAACAGGGTTTTTGGCAATTTTTGAAAAATCGTGGGATAAAATCTTGACGTGATAAAAACTTCTCTTTTATCAGAAACTAAAGCTTGAATCGTGGTCTTTCAAATCATCCCTTAGGCGACGCATTTCCTTCATCCCAATATCAGAACAGTAAGAATTTGACTTCTAGTGGATGAAAAAAAATTATTATCAAAATAGAAAATAACTAACCTGATGCTAAAAAAAATTTCCCTACTCACTATCCTCAAAACAACCCTTAAATGAAATTTTTTTATAGAACTTAATTTCTACTAATCTTAATTTCTTTACGATCCTTTGTTAAAAAAAATAATTTATGATTTCATGAATTTGTTCTTTAATGTTGTTTTCAATTTAAATAAATGATTTTTTTTCACTTGAATTACGCAAGGAATAATTTTTGAAACTATTTTTTTTTTAGAGGAATTTAATGAATTTATTTTTAATTTAATTTTATGAGTAGATACGATTTTAATCCAAATTGATTATTAAATCTAATGATATTAAAAAAAAGATCACATGATCAGATTTGGTTAACAATTTGTCGGAACCTTCGACTTGTTCAAGAATACTGTGAAAATTTGATGAAAATATTTGAAACTTCATATTTTGGTTGGCTGAAACAAAGTTGAAGAGTTATCACAACCAAACATTTGGTTAGCCCAAAAAAATTATTTGGTTGAACATTTTTAAATTCCAACCAAAATTTGGTTACGATAACAAAATAATTTGGTTAACGCAACAAAATAGTTTGGTCTATAAAACCAAATGATCGTTTGTTGTCCTAACCAAAATTTGTTTATGATAATCAAATAATTTAATTCGCTCTTAGCTCGTACCTAAAGAAAACAATTAGTTTAAATCTCTCACAAAGATGGATAGTCCAGTGGTCAGAGCTCCCGTCTTGCAATTTAAAAACAGAGGTTCGATCCCAGGAGATGAGATTTTTCAATATCCACAAATATTTCAATTGGATAAATATAAATTACACGTTAAATTGAAAATGAATAAATAATAAAAAAAATAAAATGAAAAGAAATAATATAGAATAAAATTTTTAATTTTATAAAAAATACTGTTGGTTTGATCAACTAAACATTTTTGTTATGTCAACAAAAAACATTCAACCATATTTTTTGGTTGACTGAAACAAATAGTTTGGTTGCTTAAATTTACAGAATTTAAAATAATTTATCAAATAATTTTAGATAACATTTTTCTTGAAAGTAATTGTATTTTCAAAGATTTACAATTCAGATTTTTGAAATTAATTGAACTTTAAATGATTTTTAATTGAAATTTTTGGCGATGAAGAATTTATTAAAAAATACAGACAATAATTGAATTTTAAAAGTTTTTAATTGATAAATGTTTTCAAATAATTGAATTTTTGAAGAATAATAGGTATAAAAATTATTGAAAATCATTAAATTTTGGAAGAGTTACAGTTGAAATTTTTTAGAAATAATGATTAAATTTGAGAATGTTTTAAATTGTAATTTTTGAAAATAATTGTATTCAAGTGATTTTTAATTGAAATTTTTCCTGTGATTTCTGTTGCTGAAGAATTTGATTAAAAATTAAGGACAAAAATTGAGATTAAAAATTTTTTAATTGCAAAATGCTTCCAGATAATTGAATTTTCGAAAAATATTATAAAAGTCATTAAAAATAATTGAATTTTAAAAGATTTTAAATTGGAAGTTTTGTTAATTTCATTTAATTTTTGTTTAAATTATAAACAATTGTTGAATTTCATAAAATTTTTAATTGAAAAATAATTTAAGATTAATTAATTTGTGAAGAATTTCATTAAAATTATTAAAAATAATTAATTTAGTGAAAAATTTTAATTAAAAATTTGTTAAATAATTGAAATAAAGAAGATCTGAAGAAGATCTACATTGTATACTAAAAAGACGTATTTTGTTTAACAAATCCGATAAATATTTCAAAATTTGTCTGCCATATTGGATGGGCCATTTTGAATTTCAAAATCTAACATCGGATTCATAATCAGCGACCCCGAAAAGTTTCTATAGTTAATCCGATCAATTTGTAAATTTTAAAACTAGAAAAATAAGTTAAGTACATGACGCAAAGGGTTAAAAATTTTGTCAAAAAAATGTAAAAAAAAGTCGAAAAAGGAATTTAAATGTTTAGAAATAGTAAATCCGGAATTAACTACATGTCCGAAATTAATCCTGATTCTTGGAAACAATAGTCAAAGTTGTAATTTAGGAATTAGTCGTCAACAAATTTAAAAAAATGCGCATTCAATTATTTGATTTAATGTAGTTTAAAAAAGAAATTGTCAAGCAAAGAAATTTTTTTCTTAAGATACGTTTTTTGAATTATTCCGTATTTATTGCTGATAAATTTTTTCTGTTTTGTATTCATATTATTGCGGATTGTTTGCTGATTAATTTCATAGATATTCAGAATTATTTAGAACTGATTTAGGATTTCGTATTTTGTTCAGACTAATTTCAAACTAACACGGATCATTTTCTTACTTTTTTCATACAATTATCTGACTAATCCGGTTTAATCCCACAAAAATTAAGGGGAATAGGTCCGAAATTTTTACCAGGCGTAAAAATTCGTTTAAAAAGAAATTCTCTTTAATACTAATTTAAAGAAATAAAAAACAGTTCTATATATTAAAATTGTCAAATGAAATTCTAATTAATGATTTTTATGGAATATTTCATGAGTCTAGTTATTCCTTGCAATTTTTTTTCTCCCCTTTTTAGGAAATTAAAATGAAACAATTTTAGATTTTATATTTTTTAAATTTAAAATTGTTATACAATCATCAAAAAAGAGAAAATTGCAAAGTATAGGTAACAAATTTCAAAATTATTAAAAAAAAGAGATGAATATTTAACACTCTGTGATCGCTAATTTTTAAAATGTGAATTCAAAATTTATGAAAGGGGAATATATGAAGAAAAATATAAAAAATTAACTATTGTATAAAAGTGTTAGTTTTTCAAAAAAAAAAAAATTTTTTTTTTTTGAAAGTGCATTTTATAAATATATCGAATTACACTTGATTTTTTTCATTTGACATAATTTTCGAAAGTTACTTTTCATTGAGTCCTTATTAAATATGTACATAAAACAAAATTTCTCGAAAAGGAACAGCAATAATGAAAAAAGTAATAATATTCATGTTGAGAGTTTATCAATGTAAATATACATACTGAGAAAAAAAAACAATTGAAAAAACTTACTTTACATAACGCAGCTGAGAAATTACAAACTCAAAAAACAAAACATCAGCATTTTTTTTTTTTTCACAAAAATAAAGTTCCTCTGGAGAAAATACTTTAAAGCAGAGAGAAACAGTAGAATGTTCGAATCACATGAGACAAAGTAGTTTTTACTCATCAAAATTATAAATCATTAGAAAAAAAAATAAAATATAAAAAAAAAACATATTTGTCTTTTACTTAACAGATTCTTTTTTTTTAATTAACTTTATTAACGAAAGTTAAAATATCTCATCGCAACAAATTTTAAAAGCGTTTCTCTCCGTTAACTAAAATCACACCTTGTTTTGTATTTTATTTCTCTCGCTTTTTTTTCTTAATAATAATAATAATAATAATAATTTAAACGATATGGTCAAGAAATTTTCTAAAACTAAATAATAAAACATAATTTTTTTCTGCATTTTCAACTTTATAAATACAATTATTATCAATCGTAGTGCAATGTCTAATATTTTTTTTGTACCTCCATTTGGCGCTAAGAAAATTTATTATCCATACGGAAAAAAAAATTTTTTTCTTTTTCTTTTCCGCTCTTACATTAAAATGTAAAACTTACATTCTATATAGAAAAAAATAAATCCAAGATGTGATTTTCAGTGAACGCATTCAATCTTGGAAAGCGATTTTTTAAAATAAAAAGTAATATCGCACTAATACGCTTAACACAGTATTACAAAAATCTAAAAAACTACAAGTTTAAAGGGTGGACACGTATGAGACCTCCATTTTTTTCCTTTTACACACGAATGAGAACGAAGGAATCAAGTAAATGGATCGATAATAGTTTAATATATATGTATATGTATATATTTATACATGTACATATACATATACATTCGCTTCCGAAGAGAAGAGACTGTGCTTTAGCTTATTTTTACAATTTTCGATGCGTGCGTCTCTTCTCCTTTTTAAACTATTGACAATCACACTATTTATTCTTTTTTTTTTTTTTTGTTTATTTAGTCTTATCCACATTTCTTTTCTGAAATTTGTCTTTCGTTTCATTTTCGAATCTTATTTCCTCTCATACTTATATAAACACAAAATTTATACATTCACATCCATTTACTCAGTGACTCAATGCGTTATTTTTTTTTCAACTCGCTAAGAGCCTATTACAAGAAAAAAAAATTTCATTTCTTTCAAAACTCATATGTCAGACAGTTGAAGAAAATTTTATGAGTGCTGCTGTTTATACTAAAAAAAAAAAAATTTTATCCACGTAAATGATAAGGAAAAATTAATTTTTTTTTTTTTTAAATTCAAGACTAGGTATATATAAAGAAAAGGCGAATCACTTTCTTGTCACACACATATACACATCGTATATTGCCTATGTGTACTCTTGCAAGCTTGATATTTTATTTTTTGTTTGTTTTCACAATTAATGAATTCTTTATTCTTCGAGTGAAAATAAAAACAAACGCTCTCTCACAATTGGTAACATTAATATATAAATATTATATAAAAAAAAAAGTAATTATTATTATTATTAACTATTTTCGATTAAACAATATTAATCTAAATTTATTTAATTAAAAAAATAATACATATATTACACTAATTTAGAAAAATATATCTTAATGAAGATAAATCACAAAAAAATAACAATTTTTTATTTAAATTTTCACTCGAATTAACAAATTAAGCATAATTCTCGTGAACTGATTTCAGAAATACTTATCCAATCAGTGAAAATAAATAATTTTACATAAAACACGAATCATTTTTATTTGCGTAATAACAAAGTTTACATCGATATTTTTGTTTTAAACTTTGTTTTCAAAGCAAAAAAAGATCGGAAAAATATCTCAATAATCACAATTGCACAAAAGAATCTTACTTAATAAAACAAAAGACGGAGAAAAATAAAAATAAAAAGCTGCTCAGTAGTATATTGAAAGTGAAAGGTCTATGATTTTTTTTTTTTTTTTTTTGTTTGTTTGATACTGTAAAAAAAGAAAATGCAACCATTTTTCAGTCGTCGATTGTTACAAACCTTTTACTTTTACGCTAATATAGAACTATAAAACTATCCGTCTGATCCCCTGGAAACGAAATTATTCAGCAAAAAAATTCTTAACAACTCCTTATTTTAAAAAAGAGTCATATTTCGAGAGTAACCAATCTGGTTTATCATTGATTTTTTTTTCTAAAAAAAACGGGTAAAATCCTTGTGGGGAAGCACGATAAAATTATTTTCTTCTTGTTTCCTTTTTTTTTTTTTATATGCGTAATTGCGTCCATCACACACATTTTACCTACAATAATGTGTCTGCGTATCAAATTTTTGTAATGTTAAAATTATTATTATTTTTTTTTATGGGCACACACCGAATCAATTCTATTGCAACCGCGCGTCCTTTCGTCGACCATCATCAATTTTTTTAAAGTTTTATTAGCCATCTTCCTTGGGTGGTGTGAACCATCCTGAAAAAAAGGAAATTCATTACATTAATGATTTATTTTTGTCAAAATATTTCAGGAAAAATTCTATACTCTCATATGAGTCAAACCCCGTTAATCTTAAGTAAACATTTTCTATATTTTTGGAAAAATAGAAGCAATTGTAAAAATCTGTTACTCACAATGAATGAAAAAAACACTTTAAACCGTTTTTTTTGCAAAATAAAGTAATTATGCCCTGCATTTTACCCATTTTTCATACGTTTTTGTCCTTTTTTTAAAAAAAAGGTATAACTTTTTTGTTTTAATCGCTATTAAAAAATGTAAGAGGAGAAAAGTGTTTATTTTTAGTCGTGTTTTTTGAAAAAAAATTGAAAATTTTTTTTTTTGAAAAATGCGAATTTTTGAAACTTTTAAAAACCAAAAATTTGAATAATTTTGTTGTTTTTTGACGAAATTATCTGGCCAACGAACTCAGGCGACATTTTGGTACACTTAAAGTGTATACCAAATTTGAAGTCGATTCATTAAAATTTATTCGAGTTATTGTCGGACCAAATTTTGTCTACAGACATACATCAGAAAGCCTCTAAACGTCGAGATTTACTGGAATTAGAGAAGGCTCAAAATCGCCCAAATGTAATACCTTCTCATTATGATGAGAATGTGATAATAACTCAAATTTCGTTTCCTAGAAATTATTGGCAATTTTTTTAATAGTCAATTAATATCAACTCTTTTAAATAAACTTAATTGTGAAAAAAAGTTTTCAACAATTTTTAATTTTTAATAACAATTTTATATAATCATTAACTAACAAAAAAATTGCCAATAATTTCTAGCAAACGAAATTTGATATTTCAAAAAAAATCATGGATTTTTCCAATAAAAAAGAAGAAAATTTTATTTAAATGGCTTCAGATTTATACATTACCTATTTTTACGTGTAGATTATAGGAAAAATTTAACAAACATTGATAGAAAGTTGTTTTAATTGAGTTTATTTTTCTTAAATAAAAATTTTTGAAAAAATTTGACTTTTCCCTCAAGTTAAAGTACGGAACCCTCGGTTTCAATGCGAGAGTAACTCGCACTTTTCCGATTTTTTTGGTTCTTGTGAGCTAGAGATTTTCATTATTACTTTTATTTTTTCAAAAATCTACAAAATTTTTACTCACGTTTGACGTGGTTTAACTCATATAATTCTTTTTCCACGGTGCGCCAGAAGGAGGTTTAAATAATAATGAATTGGCACTTAAAAATTCTTTTTGATTATGGTTCTAAGATGAATAAAAAACTTTTCTCAATAGGTTTTAAAATCAGCTTACGTGCCCAATTTAAAACAAATTGAGTTTTAAATATTTAAAAATAGTGTTTTATGAGGAACCAGAATTTATTTAATGTATACTTTTATGCGTATAGATAATAGTTGTTTTAGATTTGGGTTCATATAAACTTATTAACAATGAAGTTATTTTCTTGTTTCGTTTTTATATTTATGCATTAAGAGTGTCGAACGGTATCTGAAATTCTTTGGCAAGAAGAGAGCTTTAATTATCGCTCTGAACGTGAAATAGTATTGATTTTAAAATACTTTTTTCTCGAAACACGAACACTTTTAACAAAATCAGCCAAAATCCTCATCTTATAAATTTCCTAAATCCAAAAGACTGTACGAATCCATAGAAAAACATGGTTGCAAAACAAAAAGTAGAAAAGTAATCTAATAACAGCTGCGACTTTGTGCGCCCTGCATGCTGCTGCCATCTGACGGCGGCAGGAGGTAATGAACCCCTCATTATATTACTTTTCGTTTTGCAATCGTGTTTTTGAATGGATTCGTATAATCTTTAGGATTTAGGAAATTTATATAAGATAAGGATCTCTAGCTGCTTTTGTAAAAAGTGTCCGTCTTTCGAGAAGAAAGTATTTTAAAATCAATGTTTATCATTTTCACGTTTAGTGCCGTTTTTATAGAGCGATAATTAAAGGCCTCTTCTTGCCAAAAAATTTGAGAGACCATTCGACTCTCTTAAATAATTTTTGTCACTCTTAAAATCGTTCTTTTAACATTATAATTTAATTTTTTTAAATTGTACACAAATACTACAGCAATATAATTATTTATATGTAAAATTGAAAATAAGTAATTATTTTATCATTTATTACAGTATTTATTAGATTAAATAAATTCTGATTCCCCATAAAACACTGTTTTTATATAAAAACTCAATTTTATTTAAATCGGGCACGTAAACTGATTTTAAAAACTATTGAGAAATGTTTGTTATTCATCTAAGAATCACAATCAAAAAGAATTTTTAAGTGCCAATTCATTTTTATGATGTAAACCAGAGTATTATACCCATCGACAGTTTTATTAAATAAAAGTTTTATTTAAAAATTTTTAATTAGGGTAAGTGATACAGTACGACGCAGAGCACGAATCCGTAAAGAGAAAATTTGAATGTTATTCTGTAGAAGATTATTTTTGAAGAATAATAATTTAAGGGGGATTACTCATAAGAAGTGTGCAAAATATGTAAACATTCAACATTTTTTTCTCGCTTAGTTAATTATAAAATTTAAAAAGACTATTTGCGTATTGAAAAGTATAATTTGTAGTATTAAAAACAATTCAATTTTTTTTTGTTTTTGTATTGTGTTCGGCTGTAGAGGGCGTCATACACTGTAAAAAGAAGGTACTAAAACAGTACCGATTTTAGGTATCAAAATAGAACCAAATAACAATTTAGTACCTAAAGTTGGTATTAAATTAATACCTTTCGTTTTACAGTGTACTTGGCGCTTCGATTTTGAGCCGCTCTGCGGTTGCAGACCTAGCGCACTCCCCAGTGATTTAAAACCAAAAATCAAAAAATAATCTTAAAGTTAAGGTACTAATGTAGTGGTTATACGAAAAATTACCTTAATAAATCAAAATTTAAAAAATGGCACTACTTTAAACAAAAAAGTTAAAAAAATGACCTTCCTTTCCGACATTTTATTATTTAAAAACATATTAAAATTTTTTTTGTAATTTTTAGGTATAACAACTGAAGAACATATTTTAAAAGTCTATGCAAAAAAACATTAAGTCACAATATCCATCCGTTTATTTACAATCCCTGCAACCGATTTAAAAAACAACATTTTGAGAAAAACGCAGTTAAAGTATAAGTACACTTTTTTGGCTTTAGCATTAAATCCTTCATATCTTTAAACGAAATCAATATGTTTAAGTCAACTTTGGTGCGTTTTCTTCCGGAAGTATAGGACTATTAAATTATGTAGACTACATCGTAATCAGCGACCCCGAAAACGATAAGATACTAAATTTCATAAAAATGCAGTAACATTTTTTTCATAACATATGTACATAAATTGTACCATAACTTTTAATAGGAGCTAAATTTCGTCATAACATTTTTGATGTGTACTAGAGACATTAAGAATTGTAAAAAAGCAAAAAAAAAAAAAAATCGAAAATTTTTTTTTCTCATGAGTAATCCTTTTTAAGGGTATGTGGGAACCTCCCACGTGACCTAGTATGGGAAAATGTGTTTTGGTAGTATACATCTTATTCTAAAATGAGAAAATATTTCTGTCTAAAATTTTGAGGGATGATAGTTTTGGGTTCAAGGAATCTCGCTGTTCTCCGAAAAATACATAATTTTGCGTTAAATTATTAAAAAATAAAGTTTAAAAAGTGGCATTTTTAAACGAAAATGAAAAAAAAAAAATGGCGGCGCATACACAGACGTTGCGTGAGTGTGTCTGTGCTCCAGGGAACAGCGCCAATTCGAGCGAGTGGTCACTGAATGTATTATGATAAAACACATTATTTTACTATTTATTGCTTTATTTTTATTATTTTTGCGTTATGTTATAGTAAATGTGAAGAATAGCGAGATTCCTTGTACCGAACAAAATCATTGCTCCATAATTTTAACCAGAAATCATTTTTTATTTCAGAGAAAGTTTCAAATCACAAAAAAAACGTCCTTTGCAGAATTTTTATTTAAACGAAAATTAATTAGCTAGAATTTTAATTTGTTTAAGGACGTTTATCCACGGAAATGCAGACCTCCAGAAAAAAATAATTAATTAACATTTAAATAATTAAAATAATATTATTAATTGTACTTTTTGAAAGAAGAAATATCAATTTTCAAGAAAAAAGTTTAAATTCTGTAGAAGCGATGTGACTGAAAATTTTTATCCTATGCAAATTGTATAAACAAATAAATTTTTTAAGTTTTAAATTTTTTTCTTGAAAATTGATATTTCTTTCTATAATTTATCTTTAAATTTTATTTTTAACCCTCGGAGCATATACAGGGTCTGTGTGGTCCTATTCGTGTGATCGTGCTTTTCTACATATTTAAATTGAAAATAGAGAGCAATCAATTTTTAACTAAAACAAATTTTATTTAAGGGTCGTTTTAGGGATTGTTAACTGGAACTAAATTTATTTATTTAATAATGTACACGGGAATGTATATTCCATGTAAGTCACAAAAAAAAAAATATTAGTACCCTACAGGCTAGTGTTGTCAGTTGATTGGAAAAATGGTTTATAAAATAACTGTAATTTTTGAAATTGATAAATAAAGAAAGTATGAAAAACATAATTACCATTCTTTTCATGTATTTGAACGAGGGATTTGAAGGACTGCTGTGCTCGAGCAAGACTATATTGTCCTTGTCCTCCACAGACTTTTCCGCTGCCTGTAGTACCAGGGAATTGGATTCGAGCTTTGCCCTTGACTAATGTTGCGGATATTTGCATGATCAGGGCTTCAACCGTATAAGCCGAACTCCAGCCCTGCTTTGTTAACAGCTCCATGCATATGGCGCCGCCAAGTAAGACATATCCGCCAGAAATAATGGGATGCACTACTCGTACAAATGGAGGCTCAAAAGGATACGTTTCCTTTAAATTAAAGTATTATAATATTATTATCATTCATGTGTAATACATTAATATTTTAAATGATATAATAGGAAAGAAAATTATTTCGTTAAAATTCACTACAAGATTTTTTAGAAAACAATATAGTACCGTCACCACAGTGGGGCAGAAGCCTAAAAACATGCCGAAAACCTCAAAACATTCCTCGATTTACACAAAACTTGCTAACTATACGTTTTTGGGGGCAATGATTACGAATTTGAAGTCAGTTTTTAAAAATTCAAAATGGCGGATCCAATATGGCGGTTTAATTTTTTAAAAAATCAATGGATTTAAAAAAATGAGTATTAGGGGGTTTTTTAGGTAGCTGATTACGAATTTGAATTTCACTTCTAGTGACACCATAACCCAAAAATTTGTTATTATTTTATAAAGACGCCTGATTAATCAAAATCGTGGGAGACATTTTCGAATATTTTATTTTAAAAAAGAACCAATTTCGTTAAATAACTATTATTAATGTAATAATAAATAAAATAAATAATTTTATTTCGACTAATTAGTTTTGCAATTTTTTAATTAAACTCACTGGAAGACGGAAGAGTAATTGTGATTTTTAAATAAATATTTCATATCTACGATTTATTTTTCAAAATACATTGAACGTTATATCCGAAGAATATAAACTTATTCTGCAGGCGTAGGTGTTTTAGAATTTAATTGCGCATCTTGCAAATTTTTGCAAGCTTCCATCGGTGTTACTGTAGAATGGTTGACTTTTTACAATTTTTGGCCATTTTGAATTTTAATAAATCTGACTTCAAATTTATAATCAACGACCAAAAAACTTTTTTAGTATAAATAACTGTAATATTAGTTGAATAGAATAGAATAGATAATGAATAGAAAATCCAATAGAGGGTTATGTAATTTAATTGGAGTAATTGAATAAAAATAAATTTAATTCACAAAGGGGCGAATTCGGGCAAGTTTTGTTTGTGCGATTAGTTTCAGGGATGTTTAATAATTAATTAAAAAAATAATTAAGCCAGATTTTGCCGATTCATAACTTTTAAAATTATTTTTAAAAAGTTTATACTTGATTTTTTAAACATTTTCATGTATTTCTTAGTTAAATAGTTTTTTTTTAATTATTGATATTATTAATTATAAATTATGCAAATGTATTCCAGTATTCTCCATGAGACGACTCCAATTTAGAAAATAAAAAAATAATAAAATTTGAGCTTTATATAGTATTTTTATGAGCGCGATGTATTTTTCATTCTAATTTGCTAGTTTTTACAAATGCGGGAGCTAAATTTCAACAAACTGTAGAAGGATATGATTTTTTTTGCAGATCTCTATAAAATGTGTTTTTTTTAACTCAGAAAAGGTCAGAGAATAATGCTATGAACATCAAATACTTTTAAAAATTAATTTAATTTTTGAGTTTTCGGCACGTTTTCAGGGTTCTGTCCCACTGTGCGTCAACAGGGGTAATTATGAAACATCAGAGGTAAATATGGAAAGTTCAATTTTTTTTATGTAAAATTTATACATAGTCCAGTCAAGTTAGCATTTTTAGATAAATTGATTTATATTTTATAAATAGGTGATTAAGAAATTTACCTTAAAAAGCATGTTGAGTAAAATACTGTCTTTTCCTTCTTTTTCTTTAAGAAGTACGAGATCGTTGTGCAGGGGCGAATCAGGATCCACACACATTAGTTTAATATTCCATTCATAGAGACTGTCATTAACAAGTTCTATGCTGTACATGCCTAAAAATTGATAAATTTATGTAATTATTTATTATTATTATTATTATTATTATTATTACTATTATTGTTATTATTTATATTATTCTCTAAAAAATTTTAATTAATTATTTTTAAAAAATGGTATTCCTCAGATTTAAACAAATCTTGTCTGATAAAATTAATAAATTTTTTATATTTTTTGCTAGTCATTTCCTCGAAATTTTATTGAAATAAAGTAAATTGTATCAAATAGAATATGTTTCAAGTTACATGTAACGAGTTTAATCAAACAAAAATATTAATAATTGTGGAAACTATGTTCCAACTATCTCAAAACACCTCCTACTTCTTAGACACTTACAGTAAGAAAGATTTCTCCAAAACCACTGTATCGATCGACCTGGAACTTTTAGGCTTTATTTATAGTTACAATAGCTCATTAGCGAACGACAAAATTTCAAATTGAACCACATTTTTTTTTTTTTTTTTGTCAAAAGATCAAATTTTAAATACCTTAAAAGTCGGGAATTTTTCAGAAAAACGTTGCCATTAATTTTTTTTTTTAAACCCTTAGTTCAAATAAAATTGATTGATACAGTAGTTTTGAAGAAATATTTCTTATCGCAAGCGTCTAAGAAAAAGAATCTTTAAGAATTTAATAAAATAACACTTCGTGCTAGTAAAAATTCGGAAAACTGAAGATTCGGTGAAAAGAAAATTTAAAAATTTGAATCACTTAAAATTCTGCTGAATAAGAAGTTTGCTAAATTTAAATTTATAAAAAAAATTTTATTTAAAAAAATACGGCACCCTGGAAACAATTTTAATTTTCAAATTTTTTGTTTATAAAATTTGAAAGAAAATTAATGTAATTGGATGTCAGAAGTATAATTCAACTTCAGTAATTTTTTTTTCATCAATAATTGAATTCCGTTTTAAAAAAATATGAATAATTTTTTAATTGTTATTACACTATTAAAATTATGAATTAAAACTATTAAAAAATTATGCCTGGTTTTTTGAAAACGGAATTCAAATATTTATCATAAAAAAATGACTAAAGTTTTGAAATATTCTTCTGGCATCCAATTTCATTAATTTTTTAATTAATATTAAGAAAATTCTTCAAAACAAAACATTTTGATGTGTCACAATAAATAAGAAGTTTTGCAGTAAAACACATTTTAGTTAATTTTATTTATTTGGAGAATGCAAAAATATTCCTCCCCATGAATTTCTTGAAATTTCTACGGTTTCGAAATTAATAATCTCGATTTTTTATGTTATTGAATTTTATAAAGTAGAAGTTATATTGAATTGAATTTTCATTTAATATAATTTCAATTTTTATAGATATAATATAATATACACTACAGTCGGAAATTGTGCGATCTTTGTTTTTTCGATGACTATAAAACGGTTTAAATCTTCAAAAATATTAAAACTAACATTTTTTCCTTTTTATTTTCTAAAAGCAAATAAAATTCTGAATGAAATAAGACCTCGACAAAAAGAATATGTTAATTTTTCAATTAGCTATTTATGAAAAACCCAATTTTTAATGTTTTTATTATTTTTTTCTATTTCTCTGACAAAAATTAATATTTTTTAATGTTCTTGGGCTCTTTGGAATTGTATTTTGTTATACAATTCAAATTAATGAAAACAATACAAGTCCACATTCTTCCCTAGCTTATGCAAACCGTGAAAGTTGACTCAAAAAAAGTCAAAAAATTGTGATCAATATTTAAATAACAAAAAATGAAAAATAAAATGTGTAAATCTTAAATTTACTTACATAAATTAAAGAAGTTTAAGATGATCTATTTACTTAATTTTTAAACATGATATTTTGTTGTAAACATAAATTTTAGTTTTTTGAATTTTTTTCAGCCAACTTTCACGGTTTGCATACGCTAGGGAAGAATTTGAACATAAATTGTTTTAAATATTTCTAATTTAATAACAAAATACCATTCCAATGATCCCAAGAATGTTAAAAAATATTAACTTTTGACAGAGAAGTAAAAAAAAAGTAAAAACATTAAAAACTGTGTTTTTCTTAGATAAAAAAGGAAAAATTTTAGTTTTAATATTTTTGAAGATTTAAACCTTTTTATAGTCATCGAAAAAGCAAAGGTAGCACAATTTCTGACGGTAGTGTAATATAATTTCGTTTAAAAAAATGGAACTATTTAAAAATAAATGTTTAAAAAATAATATTAAAAAAATTTGACTTAAAAAAAAACATGATTTTTATCAGCTCTGAAAACAGTGTAATACAACAAAATATAATCAAAAAACGCACTCTCAAATTTTTGAAAACACATTGTTATAAAATCGATAAAATTGTTAAATAAAAAATGGTTGAATAAAATACAATTTATTTATTTTTTTCGTGTGAAAATTTTAACTAAGAAATTATATGGGTTATTAATGCGCCCCACTTAAAATAAAGCATGCAGTAATTTTATTAAAAAATCTATAAAATTGTATAGAAATTTTTCGACTCCTGTAAAAGTGAAACATTACCAATAAAGAAATATGGGGGAGAGTGGGGCAAAGCCGCTAATGTAACATTTATTTGTAAATATTTTCGTTATTACACCATCAATTTACGTGATTTTTTTTCTAATTAATTTAAAACTAATTAACAACAAATTTCAATAATAATTACTTAATTTATTATAAGCATGATTATTTAATTTAATTATTTTCAAGAAGATGCAAAAAACGGCTTTGCCCCGTATGGCGGAGCAGCGACGTTTTTGCTTATATTTTTTAAAGGAAAAAAATTATAGCCGTTTAAACTGTACGAACTTACAATAAATGGCCGAATATCTTTAAAACATAAGTAAGTTCAAGACAAAAGTTGTTCCAAACAGAAAGATCTACATCTTGGAAACCAAAAAATTGGTTTCCAAGATGTAGATCTTTTTGTTTGGAACAACTTTTGTCTTGAACATTTTTTACGAAAATTCGTACTTTTCGAGATATTTGCAAGTTTCCATACTATATAATGGACGTGAAAACTAAGATGCGGGCGTCCCGTTAAGACAAGTTATTCTTAACATCATAGGCAACAAGTTGAAAATAAATTTTTGAAATCGAAGAGGTAGTTTTTTCAAAAAATGAATTCAAAAATTTTTTTTGACTTTTTTCCGGGCAAAGAAAATTTTTTTTTTCATTAACTATTTTTTTCTTAAAATAGCATCTTTTTGTGAGAAATTTGAAAAAAATTGATCTCATTTGGATAACAAGAAAAAAAGTTACATGGTTTTTTTAAAAAAAAATGACAAATTTTTAATTAGAGATATCTCAAAAAATTTTGAAAAATTGTTTGTGGACTTTCAGTCTGTACAAATAAAGGTACATATTCACAAGGTTTCAATAAAAATGCTCCAATCATCAAAAATTCTTGTGATCACATCCCATGGAATTGTTCCATATTAACAATAAACTGTAAACGAAAATTGTAATAGATTAGAAAGAAGGAAAATATTTTGAAAAACGCCTTTGCCCCACATAGCGGCTTTGCTCCGATCCCTCCTAATGAAACCCATAAAATTATGGAAATTTTTGCATATAACCTCAATAAATGATAGTAAAACAAAAAATAAAGTACCTTTTTTAAAGCTATCACTTCGATAGATATCGCGCAATTCTTTCATAAGTCTATCTGTAGCTTGAACGCTTCCAGAAACGGAACCCTTTAAGTAATCTTGTCTCTGATTTTGTCTCAACCTTTCTAAAGTTGCTAGGTGTTCCAGCGCCATTTCTTCTCCCTTTTTTAAAAAAAAAGAGAAAGAAGCGTTATAACTATTAATAAATATTTTTGACATGATTATAAATACGTAAATTATAAACTTAAAATATCAATGTAGAGTTATTCCACTATATTTTAACTAAAGTCGTTGCCGACTAATTTTAAAAATTATAATACTTTGGAGAAAAGTGCACCTTTTATAGAAGGAAAATTTAACTTATTATATTTTGAAACTTTTGAGGAAAAAAAATCTTAAAAAACATTTAATTTATGGTAAAAAAACAGATCATACTTTGCTTTTAGCGTTGGTTTCGCCTTCATCCATATCGAGGTGAAGGTCTTCCTCGGCTTCGCTTTCTTCGTCATCATCGAGGTCCTCTGTGTCTTCAGCCTCCATCCTCTGTGGCACTGACGCTGTTGCTCCCAAACGAAGAGGATCCAAAGCTGTTCTGAGTCGTTCGACGTCTGGAGGTTCTGGTAGGGAATGTAGGCGGCACAACTCCTTCAAGAGTATTCCTACCTGGTTAATCACGTGATTGTCACGTCCAGTTGTGTTACTTAAAATCTGAACTGCATTCGTCACGCTTGTCTCCTCGGATTCGGCAAACCAAACTGGTGGAGTTGAGGGATACGTTTCCTTTAAAACAATTCAATTTATTAATTTTACAATATAGAAATAAATAAAAAAAAATAACTAATAAGAGAAATACAATACAGGCCTCGGATCGACTTTAGACACAAAAAAAGTCGATTTATATTCCGAAAAAGTCGATTTTTTTTATTTTAACAAAATTTAATTGATTAATAAATACTTTACTTTAAATAACTAACATTATTAGATATTAAATTCATTTTATTAATTCTGTAATGAGAATAATTCTATAATGAATATTATCAAGAAGATTTATTTGGAATATTTCAAAATTAAACTAATTGTAAAACAAATATTCAAAATTTTATTTAAGTAAGACAAATTTCTAAAAAAAATTCTTAAAATTATATTTTTATATTTTCTTGAAGTCTGATTTAAGCAATTTGTACAAATTAAAAATTTTGTCATAGTTTTTTAGTTTTGATGGTCAAAAAATTTTCAGGCAATACTTACTTACTAAGTTTTACAAATTTTTAAATAAAATTTTTTTTTTAAATAATAATTTTGGAAGAGTTAAAGTTGAAATTTTTAGAAATAATTGAATTTCAAAAGATTTTCTTGATTTTCAGACAATAAGTAAGCCGCCAGATCAAAGAAGTGCACATAACCGACAGCTTAATTAAATTTTACAGAACTAAAAATAAATTATTAAATAATTTTAGATAACATTTTTTATTGAATTTTCAAAGATTTACAATTTAGAATTTTGAAATTAATTGAACTTCAAGTGATTTTGAATTAAAAATTTTTGGTAATTTTATTTGCTAATTTTTTTAAAAATTATAAACAATTATTCATAAAAATTTTAATTGAAAAATAGTTTAAGATAATTGTATTTGTGAAGAATTTTTTTCAAATTATTAAAAATAATTAATTTAGTGAAGAATTTTAGTTAAAAAATTGAAATAAAGAAGATCTAAAGAAGATCTTCATTGTATACTAAAAAAAACGTATTTTGTTTAAAAATTTAAAAAAAAATGTAAAAAAAGTCGAAAAAGTCGCATTTTATTAAAATAAGTCGAAAAAACTTGTATTTTTTAAAAAAAAGTCGGTAAAAGTCGAGAAAGTCGTATAATCCGAGGCCTGAATAGATAGAACATTTTTTTATACAAACATTAATTTTTCTAAATATCCTTTGAAAAAATTTCTTATTAAATGAATGTTTATTAAACAGAATTTGTAGGTCATTAAATTACTATTTACTAGCAAAATTTTATTTTAAATAATTTCTCTTTACCCAACTGTTTAATTAACAGAATTCTGATTAAAACTCAATTTTAATTTATATCGAGAATTCTTATTTTACATAAAAAGCAGAATTTTAATGTAATCGAAATTGTAAATAATGATCAAACAAATAAATAACAGAGAAAGATTTCCAGTGAATTTTAAAATTTACTAATCAGAAATTAAAGCAAATTGTAATTCTGTAAATTCTATAAAATTACAATTCGTTAAACTAAAAATTTTTTCTTTCATATATTTTATAATAATTAAACTTTTTAATAATTTGAATAAATAATAATAACCTTTATGCCAAGAATTTTTTAAAAATTAAATAATAATTCTGTAATATAGAAATTCGGTTAAATAGAATTTTAGTAATATAATAATTTAAAGAAATAAAAATTCGGATAAAAGTAAATTCTAGAAAATGAAATTCTGTGAAATAAACATTTTTTTAAATTAATTTTAAAGCATATTTATACGTCTTGTAAATATTTATATTTTTAATAAAATTTCCAATTAAACGAAAAATTTATGGTTAATTTCCAGTTTTCTCTATTAGTAAATATCATAAATATTCATGCAGCCTCTAAATATTATGGGTTATAAAATTTTTTTTTAAATAATATATAATATAAGCAAGAATGTAAGAATAGAATTATAAAAGAAAATTTCGCGAGTGAACAACTTATGAAAGCTGGTTCATCATTCGTAATAAAAAAAGAAGTAGACCTTCAACAGAGTTTATCATTGAGGGAAAACTACAGGAGGACAAGGGCTTTCAAAATGCAATTGTCAAGCGCTTGCTCGACAATGCAATACAAACAGATGTGCCTGAAAAAAACTTCTCTCTCTGCAATATCAGGTGACATAATTGTCTCTGTTGTATACTAATAAAAAATAAATTCATTTATCGCAATTTTGTTTTTAATTTTTTTTAATGTCTTTCTCGTAGTGCTCTGATTGAAAATAACAATATCAATAATATCAATCAACAATAACACAAGCCTGCAAAAAAAAAAAATTCCGTTGTGTCAGAGATCAAGAAGTCATTTACGTAGTTTTTGATGCGCTGAATCCAAATCTGCCAACGAAAACCTCCCATCACGCAAGGATTTTGAGAAAAGTGGGGGGTAAAAGTCACAAAAATCACGTTTTTGGCAGTTTTTGCAAATTTCTACCGGGTAAATCTGACGTGCTACATACTTGTCATAGGAGTCAAATTAAAGCTTGAATCCTGTATTTATATACAAGGATATAAGGATTTATAAGGAAATCTTTAAGAAAGTCAGTTTAGGAAATCAGTGCCAAAAACTTCGAGTGCCCCTTAGTTCTCAACAAAGTGAATTAGCAAATACGTATATGTATATCTCCAAAAATGAAGTTACATAATTTAACGTTTAAAGGAAAAAAATGGAGTGTAAACAGACATAAAAAACATTCAAATGTGATTTAAACGATAAAATAATATGTATAGGGGAATAGTGTCAGGGTTGGACACTTGTCAGGGTTGAACAGTTGGCTTATTTTAAATAAGAACACTAGCGCCACCTGTGCGCATACGTGACGAATCTTCTAGTAGTGTAACCTAACTTTTTGTGGCGTTACATTTTTGGAGAATCAAAAGTAGCGTCTCCTGTGACTTCGGTGCAATCGAAGAGACAAAAAAAGTTTTGTTTGACTTGTGAATAAACCTAAAAAATGTGTAAAAAAAGCAAGAATTCGTCAAGGTAAGCTTATTGAATGTATTGTGGGGTACATAATTTAAGAAGAAAAAAAGTGAAAAATCGAATCGCGACACATGTCTGGTTATGGTTAGCAAAATTCGAAAATGATGCTTCTAGTTAGGGTTGGACACTTTATACATTTAGGGTTGGACACCCATATTAATTATGAATTTGACACAATTTATTAATAAATATACAAATAAATTTTAGTTTATTGATATTTCAGTGCAAAATTGTGCCAAAGATATTAGAAAAATAATACTTAAATTGTATAAATTTTGTTCATCATTTCAATGAGTTATTTGGAACAATAAAGCGTTATTTTTTGTAATTTGAGTTCATTCCTTTTTTAAACCCATGAAGCTTTACAATTTGTAAACAATAAGTTAAGATAAACATGAAAAAATAAATATAAAAAACATTACAAATATTATTTTACGTTTTTACCAATAATGCGTTTCGATTTTCAAAAAGTGTCCAACCCTGACTGAAAAGTCCAACCCTGACTAGATTTTTTTTTTAAATGTTTATAACTTTATTAATTTTGGACCAATCAATTTACTGTCCACAGCAAAAGTCTTCCTCTTTTGTAGATCTTTTCACCCATATACTACAATTGACTGAATTTATCTAAACAAAATATTTATAAACAAAAAACCAAAACTCTGTCTAACCCTGACACTATTCCCCTAATTTATAGGGGAAAATAATTTTAAAATAAAAAACATTTTTTTCCCCAAACAAAAAACACATAAAAGTAACCACATTCATTCATGAACTACAAGATTTACTGGAAGGACGCATAAGGGAAAGGGAATTTTCAAGAATAACTGAGAGACAAAACATTAATCGACAAAAAAACAGAACCAAATGAACATAACGAAGAGTTCTGGCAAAGAAAAATTTAAAAAAATAGTAAATAAGGAAACACTTACTTCCGAATTCTAAAAAAATACAAAAAATAAATATATATTTATCCGAAAAAAGAAATGAATGTTCAGTTGATGAAATATTTTTAAAAAGTAAAAATTCAAATACAGGCATCCCCCGCAACCTGACTATTTTTCAGAATTTTTCCCCCTTCTCAAACTCGCAACCTGACCAGCTTCCCCCACCATTAGATACCAGTGATTTCAGGGCTGTACACTTTGACTATACATAGATCATGGGGAATAATATTCTCTATAACATTATTATGAATATAACAATTTATTTCGTTGCGTTGTAATATAGTAGTTACATTGTAATTCATATATAACACTGGGTAACAAAAAAATGGTCATGTTGTGTTTATTTCAAAATTCCTGTGTTTATTGAATATTTGGGTGTCAATGAACAAGGAACTACAAAAAAATTTTTTTTTAATTTGTTCAGTTCCCTGAAAATGGGGATTAAAGTGTCAAAAAATGGTTTTTTTTGGCATTTTTTGAAGTAATATAAAAGGAAAACGTGAGGACATAGAAAACTTTAATAGGTCTCAAAAGAAAGCTTAAGCCTTCAACTTTAAGACCCAAAACTGAAATGTCATGTATCATTGAATTTATAGTTCAAATCTTTGGAAATGTATGCTTGGTATAAAGCGATTCTCCATAATCATATTTGCTTGAAACTCGTCACTTAGAAGTTTTTTGGTTTGCTGATTGCAAATTTGAGGTTAGGTTTTAAAAATTCAAAATGGTGGATCCAATATGGCTGACGAAGTTTTTAAAAACTGTTTAAATTCTCTTGAGTCTTGTTACTCGGGGGTTTTTGGGGTCACTGATTACGAATTTAAAGTCAGATTTCCGAAATTCAAAATGACACGGGTTACTTGCTACATTTCGAACTTTTCAAAAAAATTTCGATGAATTTGTCGAAAGACTTTCGAGAGCTATTTTAATTCTAGCAATATAATATGCGAAGATGATAAAATTCCACTATAATTGATCCGCCATTTTGAATTTCGGAAATCTGACTTTAAATTCGTAATCAGTGACCCCAAAAACCCCCGAGTAACAAGACTCAAGAGAATTTAAACAGTTTTTAAAAACT